TTGTTGCAGATGCCGAACGCCGAACACCAACCGCCAAATCATCGATTGTTCACAAAAAAGTTGGAGACAAATGTCTCTACTTGTGGTGGTGACATAGATATAAGATCCCCCCCCTCCATCCCAAACATTTCCTAGATTATTAAGATTTAATATACTTCATGGTTCTTGCATTTTTCTATAATGGGAATAAAACACCTTCGTTAATAGACAAGATGCAAGTAGAAATAATCTTGATTTGCGTCATTAAATATTCAAATTGAACCACTAAAACAGATGTAAATTAAGTTCCCGGGATTAAGTTAAAGGGAACTTTTTACTATACCCGCCATGCTATCTGACCCGAACGAGCTACCTGGTGGTGAAAATGTCATCTACCTAATCGCATTGCGTTATTGAAAACATGCGATCCCTTATTGAAGTTTCACAAGATCATGAAGCCTGAGTTGATTTCACTTCATCAAAAGTCACGAATGATTGATGTTGGATAGGAATGAAATGAATAAAAAACTAGCCTATTGAATGTCTGTGCGAATGGTATCAAATAATTTCGATTTCTCAAAAGTTGCTTTTCCTCTCACTTTAATCTATCACATATTAATTGGATCAATACAGACTCATTTCATCTGCCCACCACCATACCTTTGTAATGTAATGACGGGAAACGATCGCTGGATTAAGCAATCAGACGTCTCAATTACCCAAATGCGAGTAGGTAGTTACCAGTTTCACCACCAGGTGGCTGATTCGGGTCAATTAACATGGCAGGTATATAAGAAAGTTCCCTTAAACTTGAATATTATCAATTTAAGTGGCTCAATTTTCATATAACCGTTATGCGTCTGATACTTATACTAATGAAAATATGTCCAGTAAAGCAAAATATTATCTGTTCACTAAAAGAAAAGGTATTTCATTTTTTGTGATTTTATAGCATTGGGTCTATGGGGAATCTCCCCGAGCTAGAAGTCACATTTTCAAAGAAAATTAATTTTTCAAAATTGATAAACACTTTTTAAAACCACATTTCTAGATGTAATTTTACATGTAGATTTCAAATATGATATTACTTTTACTGAATTTTGAATTTTAAATGACGTAAATCAAGATTATTTCTACTCGCATCTGGGTTATTGGTTGAATGAGCGTTTGTTTTTGTTGAATGTTACAAGAAAACAAGGCGTAATTCTGATCTTGATATTGTTGCAATGCACATAATGCAGTTTTCAGCATTTCAAGTCATGAGGAATCTACATGCATAGTTCATTTGATAAAAGGAAGGGGTGGCGTAAACAATTTTTGACTGCCAAGCTACTCAAGTTCCCCCCAAGAAGCCCCATTATACCAAACCCTTCACCCACGCAGATACGCAGTCCATATTGGGTAGGGAAATAGAAACGGGTCAGGCCCAAGGGGGGGGGGGGGTAAAACCGCACCACCTTGAAGAAAAGTTTCTGACGGGGCTGACCCCCCCCCCCCGGCAAAAGCAGGCTATGAATAATGTAGCCAGTCCATGTTAGTTTCTCGAAGATATCTTTGAAGAATTCTCAACTTATCAGGACAGATAAATTGAGAAAATAAACCCACCATGCATAACTTGTCAAATAAGCAATAAAAACAAAAAATTAAACATAAAAACCTGCTCATTAATTAAGGGAAAAATCAGATCTAGCAAGCAAACAGCTCCGAGACTTATTACTGGGAGTTGTCTCTGAAGAATCCTCAACATATCAAGATAACAGCTGATAACATAAAAATGTAGATGGCAAAATAAAACGGCATGCACCTCTAAACATATGGTCATAATTAATATGGTTACAAGCAACAAAAGGATAATCTTTAAATGGTTGCAACGCATTATCTATTTTAGCTGAAATCAAGTTATTTCTAAATAACTCATGCGACAAAACGGAAAATGATTTAGAAAATAAATCAATAAGATCAACGTTATACAATGATGGAAACAAAACAGATAGTAAAAAATCTTATTCTAATTGAATTCCTGAATCAAGTCTCAACCCTCCAGACATTTGAAGGACTGTATCTAATTTAAACAATCAAATAAAATTAAAAGAAAAACATGCAAACAGGTGTAACTGCTTATTTGAGAATAACCAACGAAATGTGCGTCCGGGTTGTGTGGCGCTAATTTCCAGCCCTATATCGCCGCTGAACACTCTGGAAAGAAATCTGCTTATGATAAGTTATACTTTTTATACCATGGTCAGAGCAATATCTCAGTATATAATAGCAAGTGATAAATCATATATTTGGGATATGGATGATATTTGGATTAGAGGGATGATATGGATATCACCCCGGGTATTTATTAAAAAAATTCATTTTTCAAAAACATTTTCATTCAAAAGAGGATTTTAGATATATGTTGCTCTTGACCATGGTATAAGGTCGTTATTCACATGTCGGGATGATATTGAGAATATCCCTCGGATGATATCAATATTTCCCTCTGTCACTGCGTTCCCTCGGAAATATTAATATCATGTGATATTCCCCATATCAAATCCCTCCTGGTGAATAACTTCTTTGTATATACTTTCAACAAATTTAACAATGAAACAGAAACACAATGCATGCCAAACATTATCTATTGTTATATTATGGTTATTTCATAGTTTGCACTTGTATTCAGCAACTGTGTTTCTCAAACCCAATATGGGATAAACCTTTTTAGGGTTAACACGTCAGACTTAACGCGTCGCTTGAGGCAAGATGCATAAACTATATAATTCCACGGCTATAACTCGAAGAACGCCGGTAGCTGTTGTGTCTATGCCCCTTAAGGATGGGTTGTATATTGTTCTTGTGTGTCTTACCCACGGGAACCTACAAAACAGAAACATATATATAATTACATTATGTAAAGGGGAAGTCCCGTCTATATAAATCCCTAGATTCAAGTCGTGGAAACATCCCCATATTTGCAACAAAACAATGATAAACCAAAGTCAGTAAGTAGTAGTTGTACCATTATGCACGGATTGTAGCTTTTGGGAAAGATGATCGCAAAATGTAAATTAAATATTTGGTGAAGTCTGGCATTCATGATCTGACAGGAAATTTAGGGAAGGCGTTGATTATAATTTTGTAAAAGCAAAAGTTGACCATTGCATCTTGGTGGTTATCATGCCAAATAAATGCTCATTCGAAGACGACCACTACATCCAAATCCAGTTCACTAAAACAACGCATTATAAACAAATACACTAAATCACTATTACTATTATAAATTAATAAATAGATAACGTGTTTTATATCCTATCATTGACATTAACTACCGCGTTCCAACACAATACTCTTGATTTCAAATGATCAAAGACGGTAGCCCCGTTCCCAGGATTTACCGAAGGGGGTTCAATTTGGCAAATTTGGCCCAAAATCACATCAAAAATGGTCAGAATGATGAAAAACTGCATGATTTCGAAAGTTTTTTGCCGGGGGGGGGGGGGGGGGGGGGGGGTTGCTCATATCATTTCAATTATTTCAAGAATAACAAGAATGAAAATGTTATTTTCTTTAGATTATATTATCTATCAAGTGCTGGGCATTTGCTTCACACCGGGAAGGCTAGTTTAAATTTTAGATTATTAAGATCAAAATGGTTAGGTCCTTTTGACGACTTTTGAACGGATTACTGCAATCGGCCGGGCTAATATCGTACTTAAATTTAATATAATACTATAAATATATAAGTATAATACTTAGTTGTACCATTATGCATGAATTGTAGCTTTTGGGAAAGATGATAAAACGCAAAATGTAAATTAAATACTTGGTGAAGTCTGGAATTCATGATCTGACAGGAAAAGGGAAGGCGTTGATTATAATTTTGTAAAAGCAAAAGTTGACCATTGCATCTCGGTGGTTATCAGGTTATCATGACAAATAAATGCTCATTCGAAGACGACCACTACATCCAAATCCAGTTCACTAAAACAACGTATTATAAACAAATAAAATAAATCACTATTACTATTATAAATTAATAAATAGATTTATATATAGTGTTTAATATCCTATCATTGACATTAACTACCGCGTCCCAACACAATACTCTTGATTTCAAATGATCAAAGATGGTAGCCCCGTTCCCAGGATTTACCGAAGGGTGTTCAATTTGGCAAAGGCCCAAAATCACATCAAAAATGGTCAGAATGATGAAAAACTGCATGATTTTGAAAGAGTTTTTTGCTGGGGGGGGGGGGTTGCCCATATCATTTCAATTATTTCAAGAATAACAAGAATGAAAATGTTATTTTCTTTAAATTATTTTCTTTAGATTATATATATACTAAGTATAATACTTTAAATATTGTTTCTGAAACAGTGTTGTACAGTGTTGTCTAAACGGTGTTGTACAACGTTGTTTCAGAAACGGCGTTGTACAACGTTGTTTAAACAACGCTGTACAACACTATTTTGAACAGCGTTAAACGGTATTGATTAAACGTTGAACAACGCCGTTTCTGAAACAACGTTGTACAACGTCGTTTAAACAACACTGTACAATACCGTTTCAGAAACAACGTTGTACAGTGTTGTTTGAGATTGGCTGTGTATTTACTACATATTATAGAAATACTGGATGACCAGGAGCTGGATATGGCAGAATATACCTATTCGAGAAACATGTACTGGGCGTAGCGAAGGCATACGGCCGTATGCATGTAAAATGATGAACGTATATTGCTTTTTTACATTTTATTTGTGATCTTCCTTCAACTACCGTTGATTATTGATTTTCACTTTCTAAGCTGAAGGGGCATTGTTAATGATGTCTTGTACTTGAACAAAATACATAACAACGAGCTCTTAATCGGTAAAGTTGACCCCGAACAAACATATCACGTTGTGTTATAGAGACTCGCCATCAGCACATGTTTATGAAGAACAAACAATTCTTTATTTGAAATGTTTATTTCTGTTAAGTAACGCTATTTACAACGTGTGTTATGAGCTGAATCATGCCATCGGTTAGAAATATTGGATGTTAAAAAGATACGGTCATCTACATTCTCTACTCTTGCTGTGGTATATTAAAAATGAATGTTTTTTAATTGAGCATATTCGGATCTAGAATAAAACGCAGGAAATAGGTCTCATTATATCATAGTCTTGATTATAACAGCGTTTCCGTGCTGTTCCTAAATTGCGAACGTAAACAAATACGCAACATGCAAGCTGGGACTGAGTAACAGTGACCTACTAACTACGAACGTACGTATGCATTTCAAATAATAGTACTGTTATGTGGTTAAAAGTTTGCGACAATGATGATAATATTTAGTATAGGCTACTCGGGGAAATTGGGGTTCGCACTTGTCCCCCAAAAATTCAATTTTGTCCTGATTTCACTTCAAATACTCCAGACTATTCACTCCTAATCGATCCTTATAACGATTCAGTTGCTCAAACTAGAGACCCTTGGGGACTGGCTATAAGCTGCAATACGACCTTTAAATCATGATTACAACGGGGTTATATTTTATTCTACCTCATTAGTAATTGGTAAGTCTATCTCTTCGTGGTACTTAGATCATATCAACGATCGATTGGCCTGGTGTGTTTTAGATACCAAAGATACGTAATTGATTACACCATTGATTCTTGACATACAGTAGTTACCTATTATTACCCTTTGCAATAGTTTCATTTCGCAGAGTCTCAGAGTCTCTGACAAGTTAAATCAGAATGCGGTCAGTCATCATTATTCCCATAACACCAATGTTAACTCAAGTTATTCGTATCAAATTATTGATCGGGTATCTATGAATGGTATGAGATGTTTTGACTTGTATCAAAATATTTCGTGATAAACCCTTTATTAATTATATATGAAGTGTGTATTATCTCCAAGCAGCATTATTTTTAACGGTAAAGGTTTATATATAAATGGACGATGGAACGTTGAACTCAATTATCTGCTCGTAAGACTATGAAGGGACCAGCTTTCATAAGTCATAATTAGTTTCGTAATTTGATTAATAAGACGTAATGTTTATCGCTTGTCTATCTACAGAATGTCTGCTATGATGGGCAATCATAGAGAGGAACACATGGCTGAAGAGATTCAGGATATACAAGAACTCTGGTCTCATTATTATGTGAGTAAACAATTTAATAAACAACCAATCAATTCTGACCATGCATGTTTATCTTAGCATGTCTCACATCACGAAATCTAAAGCCTCGGTCATATCTGCTCTACGGCGTACGTACGGCGGCCGTAGCTTCACAAAATCGACAGAGAAAATCTACATCGTACTGCTTATCCCTACATTTTATGCTGCATATTTATTTTGGGAAGCTACGGTCGCCGTACGATTGCCGTAGATTAAATGTGACTGAGGCATTACAAATATTGATTTCTGACATATCAATCGTTTTCCAATTGCAATATTATTTCAATTGAAATACTTAATAAACACTCGGACCTTTGATGAACATAAACTAAACAGATTATAATCGAACCTTCTAACGTTCATTGTACATTTTCAAGCTTCAATATATACGTACTGCTGGTTTGGATCTAAGAAGAAAAGATTTCTTAGGTTTGGATATAGATTTACGTTTATTTCGTGGTTCCATGTCGTGATTTTACAGTTTTTCTAAGAATTCACACAGTCTTTCGTTTGTTACCCGATTTTCTGGTAATTACCAAAGAGAAAATCATTTTCATTTCGTTATAAGTAATTATATGAGATCTTTTACTAATAGATCAATAATGTCCTTTATAAGTAAAACGCTCTTTTGGATGTAGCTAGGTTACAGATATGCTTGTTATAACATAACGTCCATGAGTTTTCCTTCAATAACTATGTAAACTATTTATATCAGTTGTTATGGAAACGATAAGACAAAACGCAATTAATCACTTATTGAATTGGAAATACTATGGTAATTGATTTTACTTAATCTGAAAGGTTTGTGATAACAATCGATGTAAACTAAAGCGTGTCGCACGATATATGTATCAATTATTAATTAGATAAATTGAAAAAACATCTGGATTTTTTTGTAATTAAAATTGCTAAGGGATAAGGGAACGTCTCATATATGTAAAAGTGATCCAAGATAAAAAGTGATTAAATTTTTAGTTGACCCCCATGCATAATGCTTCTAAAACGCAATGATAAATTCAGTTGTGTTATGAGATGGTTTAGTCTTGGGAATTACCTGGCAGGTTGCCTGAGCATGGCCCTCCATTTCATACCTGGGAACATCATCTTAAAGTTGTTTGATGTATCATCATGCTACATCAATTCCCCGGCTTTTGCTGAAATTGATTTACGTCAACCAAACAAACAGAGCTCATTACCCCCTCCCTCCTAACGTAATTAATTACGTTTCTTTAATCGTATCGATATATAGCGACGCTACCTTACTATTGGGAATCGAAGGCTGTGGAAAGATCTAACAAATATAAACACTGATTTCAAACCCTAAGATAAAAGCTCTCTTTAAGAGTTTATGAAACTAAATACAAGTCTCCACATCATCAGTCAGGAACTAAGGGCCATGGGGGTATACAGATCGATTCTTAGTTGAACAGTTACAAAAAATCATTTGCCCCGACATTCAAAACGTTTTACATACAGTAGCAAGGCAACATGCTATTCTCATTAACCATTTAACAATTTCAACCCGGGGTCTTTATTACTTACAAACGATAAAAGGATAAATATTTTATAGAAGTGCTTACATAAAGTATTAGTTACAGTGTCAACAGTTAATTTATCGACTCTTTTTAGACATAATACCAATCTCATATTTATTCATAATATTACAAAGTGTGCTCAAGTGGAATCCATAGCTCCACAATGATTAGGCCTATCGCATACAACAAACGGATCGTAATTATCTGTTCGTGCAATAAACGTAAGTCTCTAGCTAAAAAGAGTTAAACATAATTCACAATGGGGAGTCATTAGTGGAAGATTATGCTATTATTAACGATAACAATAAAACATGCGATGAAAGAATAAGTGATTTAATTAACAGTTTTCTTATCAATTTGCAGACGATGGCATCCAAGATGGACGATGCTTCTAGGTTGCAGATTCACGACAATCTTCACAGACAAATCAACTCGTACGAGAAACTGCTCAGACACACGGGAAGTAAGTTTGATATACAGAAACACCATGAAATGATTCAACTGGTTAGCCGAGGACTTCCCAAAAACTTCACACCGAGACAAAAGCTCAATAAATCTCGAGCGAAGTTTGATATTCAAACCATTGACTCCATTATTAAACTCAAGGAGGTTGTTGATGAGTTCAAAACGGGCCAAAGAAAGGGAATCCTTAAAGAAGAGGAGAGACACGCCATTCAATATTTCGCAGACTTTTTTAACGAGCTTGAATCGTTAAAAGCTCTCAAAGGCTACTTCGATGATAGGATTTATATAACACTCCAAGAATATTTCTATGATTCCGCGCAATCAGATGATATAGCTGAGGACGATGATATCAGCGTTATTGAGGATGTTTCCCCTATTTCTAGTGAAGACGTCATCAACAACAAAGCTGATAAAGTGAAAGCATTCTTGCCATGGGTTGATGATAATGATGGTAACCATAATATTGAAAATAACGCCATCAAAAGTAAGGACAAGTCTAAAATTCAAATCAATGCGTGTGTGAGAAAACTTCGGAAAATCAATTCAAAATGGGATAAACTTTTCACAGATGTGACAATCGATGCCCAAAATTTCGAAAACGAAAGTAAACAAAATATCTCACATTTAAACAATTATAATATACATGAGAACATCCTTAGACTAGTTCCAGACCTGTTGATAAAATCTGAAGAATCAATCGAATTGGCAAAGAAATGGTGGATTCATGCTAATAAGTTCTATGATATTTTACCAAAAGATGCGTACAAACAAAAAGTAAAACAGATCAATCAACTCGAGGAGATGCTTGAAACATTGAAGTCTGAAATTGACACTCACGAAGAAGCCAAAACACTTTTAGTCGAGGACGTTAATGTTCTAGAAAAACGGAACAAACGGGTCCAAACTTTACAAGAGCAATTAGAAAACGTTGAGGAAATGAGGAATTTTGTGCTAAAAATGTACAGGACGATAACAAACGAAAAACTTAGAATTCAGTTAAACATTGTCGAAGATGATTTAGAAGGGAAAGACCGGGATGTTTTAATCTCACAGAGTCTTGCATATGAGGTGAGGCTCATGAAGCTGGACAAAGAATTAAGTGTTTTAGATTTCCAACATTCTTTGGTCATGAGTGATTACCAGCTGGAATTGGAGATACATCCGGAAATGGTTAGATATCTTGGAGCACAGAGAATAGAGACAGAAGATATGAAGGCAGTCATAAAGGAAAAACGCGAGGAGAAAAAGGATATGGAGAAACAACTGGAGATATTAAAGGATGAAGTACATAAGATTGAATCTGGTGAGAAACGAAATCAATTGGAAAGCAAATCGCCAGGATTGGTACTACGCTCAAATACGTTCACTACTGAGAAATCAATTGTTAAAAAGGATAGCCCGGCTAATGAACATCGTTGGGAACTAAATACAGACAGCAATGAAAATGGTTTGCACAATGATCCACGCACTGATTCTAGACTAAACCCCAAATCGGGAAACAATGCTGAGACCGAAATCGAATTATCAGACGAGGAATTCTAACATACGTTTAGTCTTTCCTTTAACCCTTGATATACTGTAGCTTAATCTTGCTTTTTAAAGAAAACGTTTATCTTCATCTAAATTCTAATGTACTAGTACTAGTAGGCTCTGGCTCTGGCACTTGTACTCAATCTTCATACATGCAGTACTCAAGATATCTTTGCTTAATAAACAAACACAGAATAACCAGGTTGTATTGTTATTATCTGATTTTATATATCAAAATATTCATTCCATAAAATGATGTTTCATCCTCTGCAGAATGGTGCTCTTTCATTGGTTTTTAGGTAGTACATGCCGCGTCCAGAATACGCATTGGCCCGATATCCCATATACTGGCAGTCAGAACCATCACAGTAGTTGCACAAACCCTGAAATAGAATTAGATGTAATGGTGATTCGTTTATGTTTGTCTATTAAACTACCATAAATGACGATCCTCAACAGATTATATAAGACCTATGCAAAACATCAAAAAAGTTATTTTTCAATCATGACATTGCATATATTTTTATTTCGTGTTTTCCAGTTTTGAAATAGATCAATGGACCATGGTTCGTGTTTTTCCAGTTTTGAAATAGATCAATGGACCATGGTACAATCCTAAATACAAAAATAGAAATATAGGCTTGTAGACCAAGATATTGTGTATTTCGAATTAATTGTGGATTGTTTTAGCAAAAATCAATCCAAAATAAATCAAGAGTGATTCCAACTGAAATAAGATCGCAAAGGGCATGCATACCACATTGACGTTAAATCAGAATTACTTACAGCTTCAAGATCACTTTCACCAGGACACGGGTTCGCCCTGAAGTTGCAGGCTGCCGTTATGGACTCTATGTAATATGTGGGTGCTCGTCCGTGACTACATGACACAACATCTGAAAAATGAATGGTTTGACATTTTCTCAAAATTGAATGTACTATGTGAGATTTAATTTGTTTGTTGTTCTTGTTATGCAACTGCTTGAAAGGAGACGAATTGTCACACGACAAGACTCGATCAGTACTTGTTTCTAACTGTCGTATTCGTTGTTCCCTCTTCAAAAGAGGAGAGGCGAAAGATTTTCCTTATAAGGTCAAAATATTTCCCATGATGCAGTTCGCGGAGGATACAGAAGAAATACGGGAGTACAGAAGAAATTATCAGAAACGATTGATCTCCTATTGATCTTAATATGACAGATAATTTTTCATTGTTTTGATTCATAGAGTGGTGAAAACGATGATTGAAATGTAAGAAAATATTCTGGTCACGTGACGTGATCACTTGACCAGTCGCCATATTGGAAAAAATAACTTCATTCGACTTTCAACACTTTCATTCCAATTTTATCGCACTACAAACTGCAACACCGATGCAACAACAAAATAACAGTACTAATCTTCAAATTGCATTATAGAGTTACGTTGAAAACCCACAAACAACCGAGCATTTGACCAAAGACGCGTCGCTACAGGGCTGTCAACTTGGGATAATCTAACATGAGTGACTTCCAAATGTTGAACACCTTCCTTCAAACTTTGGACAGCTTCAGATTTTGGACACCTAAAATTTTTCGCGTTTTCTATTTTTCCAGCAAATGCGTGACAATCACGCCTATTGCGTGAGGGTTGACAGGGCAGCTGTTGGAGAGGTTAAGCTTTGCATATATAATCGAAACTGAACCTGTACGTATCACTCGACCATATACAAATTCATGTAGCCTTCTCATATAAATAGCCGTTCAAATCCAGTGTTTGTTTAGACTACACCATAGCGTGTAATGATTCTATAGTATGTCATTGATGCGGTTTTATAGCTGGTTTTCTAATACATATTTTAAACGAGCTCGTTTCGTAAGATTTTTGGCGCTAAATCATGCATGACATACATCATCGTGTTCAGCAAGAATTCAACTGTGCATCGAAATCAAAATTGACAGCATAGTGTTCAATAGACAGGAGTAAAATGGTTCCCGTTGACCCAACGTCAAATTTCAAATTATCCCGTTCTAAACCCGAAACTCTGAAGCTGAAAGAGTATCTGATGTAGACTAAGCGCGCATAAAACTATGAGCGCTCGATACATTCCTTTGTTAATTTTTGTACTTTGCGTTCACGGTTACGTTGTGAAAAACATCGTTAGCTTAACCTCTCCAATATCTAGGTCAATCGGTTCAGTGTCCGAAAGCAAATCTATAGTATTCGTTTCAGAATTTAATTGTTAAATGTAGAAGCTTTTCTTGATTATACTCGGTATCAGATGTTCATTATAAACTGGTTTATATTTACAAAGAACAATACTTCCGATGGTGTCATTGTTTTTTTATTTAGCGTGCGGGTGTAAAATCAAAATTGCGTAATTAGTTTGATTTAGAACTTTAGGGTCAGGCAAATAGCTACGCGAAATACAGTACTGTTGGAAAATATTGACCAATCAAGTTTTGTCCTTCTTGAGGGCTTTTTAGTACATATTCTCGTACCTTTTCGATTAAAGAGCGAACCACGAAAAGCTTATTCGTTTATTAAGATTCAAGCACAACCTATATCCATCATAATTATGTAAATTCACGAACAAGTTGAATATCCCAGATGCGAGTAGAAATAATCTTGATTTACGTCATTAAAAATTCACAATTCAGTCAAACTGATATCATATTTGGAATCTACATGTAAAATTACATTCGGAAATGTGATTTTCAAAAGAGTTTATCAACTTTGAAAATTTAATTTTCTTTGAAAATATGACTTCTAGGTCGGGGAGATTCCCCATAGACCCCATGTTGTAAAACCACAAAAAGTGAAATATCTTTTCATGTGTTGGGTAGATAATATTTTCTTTTACTGGACATATTTTAATTTGAATAACTATCAGATACATTAAAAGGTAATATGAAAAGTGAACCACTAAAACTGATGCATATTCAAGTTTAAGGGAATCCTGCCATGTTAATTCCCCCGAATCAGCCACCTGGTGGCGGAACTGGTACCTACCTACTCGCATCTGAGTAATTGTATGCTGTGAAAACAAGTCGAATTAAGGCCAATATACCATACCTCCATATGCAACAGCATTCATTCCAGCTTCAATCGCAGCAATTCCCTTTGACACGTACTTCTTCTTCATGTACAGTGCAGGCTTGGGAGCTTTCCTTTCTTCCTTTCCAATGGGCTGTTTCATGAGGGAAATACCACATCCTGCCTGTCGACCGCCACCATTGGGATAGAAGTCGACATCTCCGACTTGTTTCCCGATGCCGTAATTAATGAGGTTGTCGCCACCGTTGGTGTGGATAATGTCTACAAAATCTGCGTCAGTCCTCCAGATATGACCCCTGGTGTCAAGGTCGCCAAAATTTGGGCCAGCGGGATCGAGGCCTACAAGACGTATGGAAATAACGAGAGTTGACTCAATAGTAATACAATGTAGACATGAATAAGGATGTGATTAAAGTTATGAGTGAGGATATACAAACATAGAGAAGCATGATACCATGAAGCTTGCAATAATTGCATATGTCAATACCAACAATTCAAAAATAAATTGAGACGAATAGGCATTCGATGTTGGGCACGCCAAACGTTCTTTTAGCAAATACCCTGTGAAATCGGTGATATCTTTTGACTCACCTGAAATCCTTCCAAGACCGCTTGTTTTCTTTCCAACAAAGCCACATGTCTGAGCACCAAGGCTGTGACCAATGCAATGGACACGGCTCTTGCTTATCTGTCCCCTCCTTGACAGCTCATCAAGGAAGTATGCGATCATTCCTGCCACCATGCGCGTGTTCGAAGCCGCTTGAGGGTACTGCAGAAGAGATATGTCGGCCCCACCACTCCAATCTATCAGTATAACATTGTAATCGCCCTATCAACATAATAAGAGTATCAATGACTGAAGAAAGCATAAATTGATCACGATCCCTGTAATATTGAGCTTCTTAACAGAGGTTCCTAAGATCAAGGTCGCCACAATTTGGGCCATGATCGAGACTTACAATTTAAAGATATATAAAAATGCGCGCGTTACCCAACTTTTGGCGACTTTGATCAAAGGAACCTCTGTTAAGAAGCTCAATATGACAGCGATTACACGTTTAAAATGCGGGAATAAAATTATGGATGATATGTAACAGTTGTAGCTGATAAACAATGGCCTCCCTTTTGATTAGGCGCCTCGAGAAGATTGAGAACGATTGTTACTTAATCCAACCAAGTGTCACTCTGTGTAAAAGAAATCATAACCGACGGGACATTATCCCCTTTTAGCCGATATGTCCATTTTTATAAAACATTAAATTGTTGTCGTCTTTGTATAACAAATGGAGATGGGGACAAATTGTTCCTGAGTGATGATTTAGAGAGACATCTATATTCTACTGAGGGGTCATTCATCTAGCTATCGCAAGCACTTCGCAAGCCTGCGATGTCGCAAGGGCCCTTTTTAGCGATTACGTCCTATTCATCAATCTCGTGCGACTTCGATCGGTAGAATTTCCTGCGACGTCGCAGTGAAATACCCCTAAAATGGCCCAAATTTAAGCGACCGGTGGTACCCAGTCGCAGTGATTTAAGTTCAAGAAAAATGTCTTAAATTAATATGAAATTATATAGAAATTCTAGGACGTATAGTTCGATATTCGATCTATGATATATTAAAATTGCACAACATATGCATTATGTTTAACATGTTTGTGATGCTATCAAAAACAGCTAGTTTTCGGCTTGTATTTTTAAGTACTTCACCGTGCGACCGGTCGCAGTGATTGTGTGTTACACGTGGTTTGAACCAACGTGGCTGTACCCACTCAGTATCCATATTGTCGATCTTGCATGACGTGTTTTAAATAATGAAGCTCTTCTTCGGTAAAATTTCTAGAGCGCTTAGTATCGGCCATGCTCTATAGGCTACATGTACTAGGTCTTTTGGAAGCGTTTTCGTTTCGGACTACAGCCCCAAGAGAAAACATATATCTATATTTATTTTATGCACTACCTTCACTGGGGATGAACTGGAAACGAGGGAGGTTTTGCCTCGTATCAAAATGGCGGCGCGTGAAAAAATTTCATTCGGTAAGATTTTTGTTTTTTACAATTTTTGTGCTTTTATCCTTCAAATTAAAACTTAATATTTGGCAAGTAAATAGTTCATAAGTTCCGGTTTTATAATATGATTACAAATTAGAAATCAATACTGGCATTGCTGAGATATTTACATATCAATTCTCTCACTTAGGAAACGAGGCATGTTTCTCAAGGAAACGAGGCAGCTATATAGCATTCTTAAGAATGAAACGAGGCAACCATATTTAATTAAAAATGTTTTGATTTTATTACAGAACGGGGCCTACAAAAAGAAGCGTCCCTGTTCAAATGCTATTTCTGTAACACACGAAACGACAACGTTGCTGATATTGTATTCCATATGATGCAACAGACCCCTCCATTGGCAATATGTTGAAGCTTCCTAAAAAGCAAAAATGTTATGTTGAATAGGGAAGCAGATATAGACAGTTGTGAACAAAGCTTGCTTTTATTCTACCTTGAAACATCATTTATTTTAATTCACGATAGCGACATCATAATATTTATGCCATCGGCCATTAACATTTTTCGTATGGCTAATAATCTAGAATATTTATGAATATTTCATTTACAAATGCATTACCATTTCTAGCATTTAAGAAAATACAAGGCATTAACATATGACACGTGTTGTAACTTAGTAATAACAAATAAGTCCATTTATTTGCTATCATTGTAACATATGTTCTAAGAAATAATAATTGTCGAGCTCCCGAAATTTATCTCTATTATCGTACTTTATCGCATTTTTGGGACTGAACACTGCTATAACTGAATCTACATTGTGTCACTATATATAAACATTCAGTTCTGGAGGACTTGGATTAGTTCGGATACCATACGGAATACATTTATATTTTTCCATTGTGTGATTTGAAAATCAACGGATAAAATGGCGGAGAAAAATTCGGTTGACGGCATGTCTCAGCTATATGAGAGTATATCAATACTAGCAAGTGATTTGAAGACTCTGAGGACTGATATGAAGCAGATTATTACCGAATCAGTTGCCGAGGCATTAGCGATGGTTGAAACCGAAGTGGTAAGACTTAGGCACGAAAACGAATCTCTCCAGAAGCAGGTAAAAAAAATTTCTCAAAGTAATGTCGACCTCAAGAAGGACCTTCTCTCGTTATCCAAAGAGGTCAACCACAACAATCAGTATTCCAGAAAAAACTCTGTAAGAATCCATGGTGTCCCCCTCCCTACCCCTGTCAATAACAGTGAAAACACAACTGACAAGGCAATTGAACTAATAAATGCCAAAATGGGGCTCTCACTGAGCTCTGAATGTATTGAAGTTTCCCATAGAGTGGGCAAGGGACGTGATGGCAAACCCCCAGCGATCTTAGTGAAATTTAAATTCAGGGGGGACAAAAGCTTGGTAATGGCATCTAAGAAAAAGTTGAAAGGGACAAATTACATCATTTTTGATGACTTATCTCCAGAAAACCAAAAACTGTTGCACAGAGTGAAAACCCATGATGATTTCGAAAGGGCGTACGCGTTTAACGGCAGTATATGGGGTGTTGCGCATGGTGGCAGGAAGTTCAAGATAGACGTGAATGATGACTTGGACTCAATCGTATAAACCTTATATGATATTTTAACATTTCAAACAGGCACACGTTCCTGAGCTCACATGAATTCGAAACACACAGTGTGACTTTGTTTATGTTTACATTAGCGACCTTGGTCACGGGTTGTCAAAAACCATTTATCGATTGACTCTAACCTGGCTGAGCCTAATGACTATTTTTGTTCTCATTCATGCATGCAGTGAAGGCTGAAAGTCGATGGATATTAGCCAATACTATAGTCTGTACCTGGTTATATATTTAGCACGTTTGATCACACAACAAACTATTAACTACGTGTATAGCCTACATATGACCGACACGAAACATAAATCGAGCAATTGGAGACGTTCCTTGGTCAGCAGTTTTGACGATTAAATTTGATCGCATGTTTCCCGTGTTTACGTTTAATTCTCTGCCCGATAAGGGTATAGTAGTACCGCTACGCATGTGTTATATTAAAATAAGAGTGGAATGATAACTATGTGTAACTATGAAATGATTGTATATATTGCCTTCTTATTCTATATATGTACGACTGACTCTTTTAATTGTTTTACTGGGAGTCCGTCAATTGATACACTTTCATAAATCAAGTCAAATCGACTTGGTGTTTTTAGCAATCTTCATTTATTACCTTATTGTGTGTGTGCGTGTGTGTGACTGCAAACGAGGCTAATCTTAATACGCTGTTTTATTTTTATATTCGCATTTTATTCAATTCATTCTAATAATATTATAAGGTAGAGCATTATATGCTGTTCTAGGCCATTATGTTGCACTAGGATTAATTTGCGATATGTACTGATAGAGTAGGATGGGTGTTTGTCTACAAACTTGGAGAGCCAGCATTGGCTGTTTCAATAATATATCTGGGGTAATACTTCAATCTGATCATAATTTCTCAAAAACACCAAAGTTAAAATACACCATATGTAGTAAGGGTACTCTTGGAAATGTATCGGTTGGCTTGTTACTCTGCTATTTGATAATGATGACGTATAAAATATACATACCCCTGAGTATTACATGTGTTTGTAAAATCCTGATTGCCATCCTCTATATACAATTTGCTGCCCTTCTCTTTGTCATTTTACCTCTTCTTATTACACAGAGCATGATTGGGTACTATCATGCATTCAACCCAAGGTTCGTAGTACATCTTACATTAACAGTTGGATTGTGTACACTTGTGCCTTCATTTGGTATAGTTGCGTATCTTCCAAACATTGAACATCTGTTATTAGCTATGGGTGATATTGAAGTAAATCCTGGTCCTGATCATGTCAAACTACTCTTCTCGAATATAAATAGTCTTAAAGCACACCAAGGGGCTAGGTTTACTGCATTTACTCATCGGATGAGACAAGAGAGTTGCCACATTGCAGCTCTTTGTGAAGTCGGTAATTTAACAAATGCGGAATTGGAATCGTTTAATATAGAAGGATTTCAAGATCCCATATATACAAACTCAAACCGCGGAATCCTTGTGTATGTATCCAATGATATCCACTGTCAGCTTAAAGAAGACCTAATGGTAAACTCTGATTCTATATGGATTGATCTGGTTATAAATCACAAGCGGATTTTACTTGGAACGTACTATAGATCACCTTCTCAAACAACCAATGAGATGAAAGCATTCTTTTCAAACTTTTCACGCACAGTTGAACGAGCAAAGCTTCAAAACCCACATGCTATTTATGCCCTTGGCGATTTTAACGCAAGGAATCCATTATGGTGGGATGGTGATACTCAAAACCCTGCCGGTATTGAGCTTGGGAATTTGTTAACGTCAATGAATCTGAGTCAAACTGTCGATGAACCAACTAGAATCACAAGCACATCTAAATCCTGTATCGATTTGATCATTACAAATAACCCCTTTAGTATCCAATCCCATGAAGTTGACACCCCAATAGGGAACACTGACCATTCGACTATTATATTTCAGTTATTTTTAGGTGTAATTAAGGATCCTCCTTACACGAGAAAAATATGGAATTATCAAGCAGCGGAACTTGAGAACATGAACGATTTGATCAGAAATGAAAATTTTGACAACTTAATCCAAAACAGCAACTCTATTGATGAACTAACTGAACAATTTACTAAGAGACTTTCAAACATTTTCAATAGATCTATTCCTAACAGAACTATCAAAATTAATAGTAAAGATAAACCTTGGTTTAATGACGACCTGCGTAAGTTAATCAATAAACGTAATAAATTCTATTACAAATTTAAGAAAAACAATAATCACCAACATTTTTTGCGGTATAAAGAGTATGCATCACAGGTATTAACCGAAATTGAAACTGCGAAACTTGAACATGAGAAAAGAATCTTAAGTAAATTAGATGCTAAACCAGGTTCGAAAAGTTACTGGTATATTATTAAAATTTTTATTGGAAACTGTAAAAATACCCGAATTCCCGTTATCAATGACATTAATAACATTCCAAAAACCCTTAGCATTGACAAAGCAAATATTTTCTTAGACTATTTTGTAGAGAAATATCACATTAACGAAGAACTTCCAGAGGTACCCTTTCAAAGTAGAACAAACAACTTATTAAATAACATACTTGTGACTGAAGATGAAATTCTCCAAATTCTAAAATGTTTAGATACAAATAAAGCTGGGGGATATGATAATATTAATAATAGAATGTTGAAAATGGCATCAAGTGCTCTCTCTAAACCTCTTGCGAAATTGTTCAACAAAATTATCCATGAAAATACATTTCCAACTCTCTGGAAACTGGGAAATATTGTACCAATTCATAAAAAAGGTTCAAAATCAAATTTCATTAACTACAGACCCATAACTCTCTTGTGCTCCATATCAAAGGTATTCGAAAGAATAATTTTTAATGCTATATTTAAACATGTCCAGGCTAATAATTTGCTGTACAATCTACAAAGCGGTTTCATCCCGGGTCATGGCTGCCAAGTTCAACTATTAACAATTGTAGATTACTTAACAAATTGTATTGAAAACGGTGAAGAGATTAAAGGAACATTTCTTGATATATCAGCTGCCTTTGATTCTATGCCTCACAAATATATTCTCGAGAAACTAAAAGGTTATGGTATAAACGAGAACATGATTAAATTATTAAGTTCATATCTCACCAATAGACGAGTAAAAGTAGTTATTGATGGGCAAGAGTCAAAAACTTCAACAGAAAACTACATCAATGCAGGGGTACCACAAGGGTCAATCCTAGGGCCTTTATTGTTCTTGATATATATCAACGATATACCAGATAATTTGGAAAATAAGTGCTACCTTTTTGCCGACGATACATCTTTATACTGCCCTTATAATGAAACTAACCGGAATGAACAATTCAATTCCTTACAACATGATCTGGACACTATATGTTCTTGGTCAAGAGTGTGGAAATTGACGTTCAATGCAACTAAGAGTGCGCAGGTGACATTCCGTTCGAGTCGTTCCAAAGACCAAGTCAATGAAGTTTTTCACCTTGAAGGAAATGTTGTTCAAAATAGTTGTTACCATAAACATCTCGGTTTGATACTTGATCAACACTTGAAATTTGACGAGCACATAAAGTGCCTTGTAAAAAAGATCAATAAATTGCTTAGTCCGTTGTGTGCTTTGAGGTTAAAGCTACCAAGTAAACATATGCAGAATATTTTCCAATCCTTTATACTACCTCACTTCGAGTACTGTGATATTGTCTTTGGGTGTGCAAGTGCTACTTGTTTGCAACTTCTGGACTCATTATATTACAGATCTGCAGTACATGTCTCTGGGGCTATGTATGGTTCAAGCACGACAAAGGTCTTAAATGCATTAAACTGGTTACCACTTGAAACACGAAGATATCATCACAGAATGTACCTTATGTATAAAGTATCTAACTCCTTGTCTGTCTCCTATGTTAACGAAATTTTTGAGAAATATGAGCATCGTAACATCAATGTAAATCTAAGGCACATTAGAAAGTACCAACTTCCGAGGAAGAGGGGCAGCTTATTGTCACGATCGTGTGTTTTCAGATGCTTAACAGAATGGAATGGTCTTAATGCCGACACTAGAAATTCTCAATCATTGACCTCCTTTAAAAGGCTTTTGAAATTGATGCATGGCAACTCATTGATTACAACCATGGATATGGAAATTAAAAGGAGTCAAGAGATACCATTAAACAGAATCAGATGTGATTTATTCCTTCGCTCCCAGTTTCATGCTCACAACTTTACTACTGTGGATTCGCCTGTTTGTTTATGTGGCGTTGAATCTGAAACGTTGAGACATTTTTTCTTCAGATGTAACCTTACAAAGCCAACCATGAAAACTTTGTTCGGTGAAGTCCAGCATAATTTCCCAGAAATCAATTTTAAAGTTATGCCCCAACTTGAAAAAATACATACCCTGCTCTATGGTTGCGACATGTTGAGCAAAGCAAAAAACATAGAATTGATAAAACTATTCGCATCTCACCTCGAAACCATTAGTAATCAAAGATAGAATACTATACGGCCTAATGAACAGTCCCTTTTTAGTCACACACATACACATGAAGTGTTTTTATTTTGTATCTTTGATCTTTTTATATTATTTATATCATATGTCATTTCAATATATATAAAGACATGGCTATTAATGCCAGTATGGCACAGCCATTGAAATAAATTTATAAATAAAAAAAAAAAAAAAAAAAAAAAAAAAGAAATACTTGAAAGTCATAATAAGTTTATAATTGCTCACAGTAAAATATGATGTCAGTCTAAGCGGCACGCATTTGTTCAGTTTTTGAAAGTTGCTAAAATTGCTAAAGAATTTGCTATTGACGCAAAACGCCAGACGCCGAACTCCAGACGTCAGACGCCGAACATTTCCACATTTCGTTGGACTATATGCAGAATAACATAATTGATAGTGACATAATAAGGAACATACAGACATTAAAGAATACAAACAGTAAAATCCAATATACACCAATGAGACAATGCCAGTGTGCTCCTTGACTCTGCTATTTTTGTAATATAGGCGAGTCATTTAATTATTACCATGGTCATTCGTTTTTTATCGTATATGGAATTATATTCTATCAAATATAGCCATCTCGAGCAACAACAATGCCCCATTTGCGTACGATTAGTAGGGAGGTTTAACGACACGTGTACGTAAACGTGTAAAATTGCAATCTTCAGAGAACTAGTTCTTGTCTTCAACGTCTTTATTTGCATGAATGATTACAAAGGTATCACTTAAACTGTTTTAATTGGGTCTTTGTATAAGTCAATCCAGAACGGAACTATAGTTCCCAGGGCTCATTTCACGTTTACGGTCGCCATTTCTAAAATACGTGTAGTAAAGCTCCCTATTAAAATAGCACTTCTTTGAACGAGATTTTTCTTATTTGAGAGAACATTTTGACGATATATGCGCTACCATTGATAGCTCGGATAGCTGGCTCGTTTATTGGAATTGACACTCAAAGCAATGCTATTTAACGTTTTCGAAATATTTAAAAATAAAACAGTATAACTCCTTAGCATAAATTTTAAGCTGCAGCAAAGAATGAATCGAGTGAAGTGCATTGGCATTTTCTGTACTTAAAGATGAACCTTAACAACATGTAGCTTAACTAAATTGGTACAGTTAGACTTTTCTTTGCTCTTACATATATAATCATGTATATCGTGTAAAACGTAATCGGTCGTATGTGACCAGAACGGTGGAAATAAGATCATTAAATGTAGACACTATCACAGAAAGGATAGTTGCCTCGTTGCAAGTCAAACATTGCCTCGTTTCATTGTTACAAAATGTAGACAGGTGCCTCGTTTCCTAAGTGAGAGAATTGAAATGTAAATATCTCAGCAATGTCTGTATTGATTTCTAATTTGCAATCATATTATAAAACCGGAACTTAGAGACTATTTACTTGCCAAATATTAAGTTTTAATTTGAAGGATAAAAGCACGAAAATTGTAAAAAACAAAAATCTTACCGAATGAAATTTTTTCACGCGCCGCCATTTTGATACGAGGCAAAACCTCCCTCGTTTCCAGTTCATCCCCAGTGACCTTAGCAACAATAGATAGATACTGTAGCTACAATATACCAGAATAGTGTCATCTTCTTTAAGTGAAACTTACACGTGTACAAGCACGTGTACGTGGTAATCACTGCGACTTGTCGCAGGGACATCGCAGACTGCGATTTGTTAATGAAAAGGTCGCAGTCGAAGTCAGTCAGTGCGACGTCGCACGGTGGTCGCAGTGTCTGCGACGTCGCAGTGATTGCGATAGCTTGATGAATGACCCCTCAGAGATTGAGATTGACGTCAAATCATATACAGTAGAGAGGTTAAGCAAGACGATTTTTTATGACGTGAACCGCAAACGTAAACCTTTACGTTCCCGTTTACGTACTATGAACAAAAGTGCTTTAAGCTGAGCACTTAAGACGTAACGTAAACGCAAACCTCAAAATGATTTTTTCTTTTTCTTAAGGGCGTTTCGTTTTATTTTCTACTTAAAATGTATAAAAAAAAACATTACTTTATTGACAATTTGATGAAAGTGTTTAACAAAGGAGATGTTTCACAGCCTGGTGGTGTTCTATGGCATCATGAATCTTAAAAAATACAACAGGATAACATCTTTAATGTCTTAAAAGCATTCATAGTTTTATTACTATGGTGTCACAATTTGTATAATATAATTTAGATGAGTTGGCATGTTGGTAATTGCCATGCATGTAATCTCATCAGATTATGAAATGGTCGCCTCAACATTCAAGTTATATTTTCATTTGTTGGACACAAATGATCTCGATTTATACACAGATCTGTGTCAAACATATTCATGCATTCGACCTATATCATATTTATTTCGATCGAACTTGATAAAGTACGAAAAATCCTTTACGGAACGACCTACCTAGACTTTGAATTTTCACGTTTGGATGCACGTAAACCGGGAAATAAGTAGAACAATATGACGTCACATCCTGAGAAAAACCTGCGTGCGCCTTCCCGTTCGCGGTTTACGTTATAAAAAGTAGTGTTGCTTAACCTCTCAAGTACTGTAGGTGAGGAAGAATTATGAATTTTCCACTGATATGTACTTGATACTATAGCACAGAAATAAGTGGATTATTTATTTAGAATTCAACTTGTAAATTATCTATATTACTTCGATGATTTCCTTGTTTATCATCTTATAATTTTCAAACATTTGAATTTCCCGCCATTTTAGAGACAAAAGTTTTGGATTTTTAGATCATCAAATACGACACTTAAAGATCTAATAGCAAAGGTAAAACACTTTACTTTCTTTCCTAGAATAAAATCGATCAGGCAAAGGTCATATTATTTCATCTATTCGATCTATGCTTTGATGCATAGACTTAAGCATTTTTAAGCATTAAGCTTTTAGCATTTTGCGCTGAACGAAAAATATGATATATAAACTTCCTGTTTACATGTGTTGCATGGTCCTTTCTCTTGTCTCATCCCTCAGTGGTGGATCCCGGGGGGGGGGGGGGCATGGGGCCCGCCCCCTTTAGTGGGCCTCAAAAAGTTTTGAGTCAATTTTTCAAAATTTGGGCCCAATCTTTGGTTTTAGGGGCCCAAAATGTTTTCGGGCAAGCGCAGACATTTTTCCAGACTCAAAATTTGCCCCTCCCCTTGTTAAGGTCTGGATCCACTACTGTCCATTGTCCCAATATCATCCCAAAAATGTTGAGAAGAACTAATTTGCCTGACGTTCTATCATAACCCTAATATATGCACAAAATCTTCCTGCTCTCTTTCATGCTTTTAACAATGCTCTCTTAAGGATATATTTTTGTGAAACCGATGCATTCTTTAGCACAAAGTATAGAAGCGGGAAAGGAATAGCTTTGATTTATTGACTGAACCGTCCTTCAACCAGTACTCCAACTGCTTTTTCCATTTTACATGTATAACTACAAATCTCTAAGACGTTTTAGAAAAACAGGTATAAACTCAATTATAATTTCGTAAGACGTCTTGAAAATGGTGGTGTAAACTCAACATAATTTTCTAAAACGTTTTAGCCAAGATGTCTTGGAATGTCGCGTGGTGTAAATAGGGCTAGATTTATTATTGACTTTCTGGATGCCATAACAATGATGAATTTCTACTTTGTACAATAATACTAAACTAAAACTAGACTAAACTAAAAACAACATACAAAAATACAAGTCTAATGTAAAGTACAGCATGACAAAATGTAAAGTAAAAACATTTTTTCTACAGTGTTCCCTACAATTTATCAATTATGTATTATGCAATGTAATATTAGACCTAACATTATAATTAAGTATAAATGAATGAATGCGATAAGCCAATCACGTAGGGTACAATTATACAACGGAAATACAATAGAGGTATCACGTATCCTCATATTTAATAGATGGATAATTATAATCATTCATTTAATTTGGAAAATAACGAAGTACATCCTTAGAATCATCAATATCAACAAGCGTATAATTTACAACTGGGATCGATGTACTGGGTGTCTCAAAAGAAAAGTTATTATATCATCAAACCATTCAAAAAACAAATAATCTTCTGTATTTGTAGACAATCATAATGTATATAAATCCATTGATATATAACCAGTATCAAATTAAAAATGGATGAATGGGCCAAATTTTACATCTAGAGTTTTATCCCATGCGGATATCACAACTGGGCTAACAGAAAATGTGTAATTCTGATATATATTTTGGGACACCCTGTAATTCATATCATATTTTTCAAGAGACATGCAGTGATTATGTGACGCAAAACTTGCATTGCCTTTCATAAATTCCTGCCCCATGATACAGTTACCATAGTGATAGAAGAAACATGTCATGTCTTACGCAAGGCAACATATATAATAGAAAAATAGTCCAAGAAGCAAATACAGACTATTTCTCACCATACATATTGAGCAGTTAAAGATGATTGGAGTTCATATCTTATTTTTGACTTCTATTTTGACGATAACTCTGACAAAACCAGAAAACATTTCTCAAAGTACCATCGAAGGAACAACCACGCGAAGTAGCAAAATATGCGATAATCAACCAAAGGAAAAAGGTCCAGAACAGACTTTGCAACAATACTATGATGAGCAAACCAAAATGCGTTCATGTGAAAACAGATGTGGGATACCAAAAACTACACACAGTCTTAATGATTTCTACTGCCAGTGTGATGATAAGTGCATTCACTTTGAAGATTGTTGTGCTGATTTCAACGCACAATGCACACAGAACTCCAGTAGTCTAAATGACGAGACACAGTTGAAGGGACAGCGGTCAAGATACACGTGTGTAAAGATAAGCAACACAAATATGGTCTACACGTCTTCAAATTGCCGACCTGAATACGCCAGTACTGTCTTGGAGAGTATGTGCAAATATGGTAAGAAGTTCCTTGATACGGTGCCTGTGACAGATCAAGAAACTAATCGTACATACAAGAATATTCACTGTGCTAGGTGTAACAATGTGAAAGCATTTACCAATTGGGAAATAAAACTACTATGCAATGCCTATGTGATGGATGAAAACGATTTTCTTAATCCTGGAACTACAACATTGTTGAAGTTACTAACTTCTCGATTCTGCGAGCACCACTATGTCCCGCCAGTAAGTACAGACTCCCTTAGATCATGTTTACCGACTTTGGATACATGTCCTAAAGGAACAAACGAAACTCTCGCTGACATGTGTGCAACTTCTGGTTTCTACCCTCTAGTTTATCAAAGTTTGACTGCATATGTGTACAAGAACTTCTACTGTTGGGTGTGCTCTACTTCTCCTATCCTAGATGATACTGGCAAGCTGATTTTACCCAACTGTAAACTTGGTATAACCCAGATACAAGCTGACGACAAATCGGGATTGGACTTATCTGTGTTTTCATTCGGTATTCTATGGGATTTGACATCAGAGAATGACCTCCTTATGATTACAAGACCAGGAAAGGGAATCAATGGAATGGACTTTGGCATAAGTTGTGACGCAAATGCAGCCTGTACGACCCTAAAATGTCCAGAAGGCTATGTTCATGATGAGAAAAAATGTGTACTGGACAGGCTCATTGTCCCAACAGTCTTAAAATGCCTCGGTGAAGTCAATGACACTGAGAACATTGAAATCGGCATAAAGACAGTTTTTGCGCCAATGGGCTACATTTCTGCTTTTGAACACAACAAGTATTTTTATAAATACTTTAAATTCGACACAATCTTTCCAAGGAATTTCACAAAAGGTATGATACAGAAGGCAATGGATGGGTACACGGCAACATTCATAAGAGTCACGTTATTCGCTGTTAATGTCACATTTGATTTCTCCATAAAATCTATCCCGACAATATCACACGATGCAGCATCTGATAGAAATTCAACTCCAAAATTTAAACATACTTCGTCCGATGGAAATTATAACTTTACCATGGTGCAACTAATCATGACTTGCATTGCTTTAATCATGGTATAATTGCCATAATAAAGACGTCGTGTGAATTTCTGCCTCACGCTGTAGCTAGAAATAAACAAATGACCCCTTTCCATAGAAATGGAAAATAGATTGCATCATGGGTATTGGTAGGACAAGGGTAGGGCTAGAATACATGTAAATGTATTGCCAGAGTCACTTAATTTCTTGATTTAAGAAGTAATTCCATTTGGGTTAACTTAAAACTTTATTGGAATGTAACAATATGATCTTATTGACATGTGGATTGTGATTTCCAGAAAACCAGAAAATCATTAGAATTTGAATGGTGCAAATCAAAGTTGTTTAGATAGAAAATTACACATAGAATTCAAATATGCCATCAAATAGAAGGAATGTTAGTCTTTAGTGGTTCAAAATGCAGATATCCTTAAATCTCATTAAAACGAGACTTTAACGAGATTTCAAAGCTATATGGAAAAAGGACCATTGAATAGTACATTTGCGTACTGTCAGTCATGCCTTGTGAGTATGTGAAATACTATCGCATAACAAATACAGGGTGATCCAGAAGCGATTTCAATACTATTGGACCGATATTCGTTTCAAGATGATCAATCAAGTAGTATTAAAATGACGCTATTTCTGGATCACCCTGTATATCATCAATAATGAATACATGTAGTGTAATTGCTTGTAAAAATACTATTCGCGTTTCCACCGCTAGGTCTAGTACAATATAATGTATGTGTATGTGAACATCAAAAAATCGAACCATAAATATTAATATATATATATAAGCTAGTATATAAGATACATTCAATTGATTTACTTTTCCATACAAATATACAAATTAATAGATTATTTGCAATTCCAGATTAGCCATACAAATCCGACCATTGTATGCTGTTCTTCGATGTTCCTTGTTCTTAATTGTAAACCTAGAAAAATCCCCGAAATTACAGGAACAAAACATATTTTATCAAGACTGCGTTTTTGAACTGCCCTCGGTGCAAGTATATTATATTGCATAATATTTAATTAGTTTCCCCTAGGTATCATGAAAAAGAACGATGAGTCCATGCATTGCAAATAACATGGTCACACGTTTTCAACAAAAGCAGTTCATCCAAGCGCACTTTAACCGCTGAGTTCGCTATGGCAACCTTGTCGGCTGCTCGCGTGTTTCAACCGCGTCTGCTCGTTGCTATATTCTAGTGCACCGCACACGTTCCACTTTCAAATGAATTATGTGAGTGAAGCTGCGCTTGGATAAGTTATTTTTGTAAAAAATACATGAACATGTAATTTGCAGTGCATGGCTTATTGCTATTTTAGTGATACATGGGGAAAACCTCATTTAATATTACGCACTTCAGTAGAACCGCGGGCATACAAAAATACAGCACAAATCTCTCTGATTTAGAACATACGAGGGGTGATCAATAAGTAATGGACGCTTTTTTACACAGATACTTTTTATAGACCAATACATTTGATTTTCCTACCAGTTATACATCATTCAATTATCTATCAATTCTGAAGATTTGAAGACAAAATATGTAATACATGTTGATATATCCTTATTTTCGTGAAGGAGGTACAGGTACCCCGGGACCGACATTTACGTCACATATTCAGTTTCTAGCCAGCTTGGTAAATTTCAATGAGATCTGAACTTTTTTATGCATCAAGTGTTGTGTTGTTTAAAATACTTTGCTGGCTGGTAACACATAATCAGGAAGTATTTTGATGTCAGAGTGTTGTATGGTCGGGGTTTGCAGGTCAATTTGAGAAAGCATTGTGGAAGAAGGGGTTGGTGAGAGAAGGGAACATCCAACTCCATATGGACAATGCACCTGTCCACAGATCTCAAAATGTTCACAAAACAACATCCCTGGACCTCAAAATTGAGCCCTTAGCCAATGCACCATATTATCCAGATCTGCCCACATGTGCCTTATTTATTTCTATACTACTTATTTCTATAGAGAAAGATGCAAGTTTATTGACATTGATGAAATAAAACAAGCTGTGCAACGGCATCTTGCTACCATGTCAGAGAATGCCTTCAGCCTTGTCTCACAATCTTGAGTTAAGAGGATGAGAAACTGTGTACATGTAGCACTTGGTGGAACCTATGCAGAGGGCCTTGTAGAATGAATGTGGCATGAATACCACATAGTGATGATAAAATATACAAAATCAACTATGGCATAACAAAATGGGGTAATTTATGACCATAATGGTTTGTTTTGTTCAGCCTGCATTCAACTGCGTTACATGTTAAAGGGTTCCGATTAGCATCCCGTATAAAAACAATATGGCGGCTCTAGGCGAATCAACTGGATCAGTCCATTTTTAAGAAATAAGGGGAGTTCTGTAAAATCCAGTTTATTGAAATTGTCTTTGAGATAAAGTAATCCGTTTATAATGATTTTGAAAACGTTATCCAAAGAGTGATTGCGTTCAAAGAATACATGTACAACAGCCAATATAAATCCTTGCATTAGAAACCGGTTTGTCTTGCTTTGTTTCATTTGTAGGATATTTCATATGCCAAGCTGTGTGCTATTACGTTATGGGGAAATTTAGATGCCAATTTTTCCTTATTATACACAAATAGATGATCCTGAAACTTCGCCCATAAATGTGGAATTGATTTGTCAAAATAAAAATCACCCTTTTATAAATGTGTGACGATCTATAATATACTTATGCTATATAACAGTTAGAGGTGTTGACACAACGACCTCAAACCTGTGAACCCTTGAGTATTATTCCGGGATCGGGCCTTTTATACTAAACGGTGAGCAACACCAGAAACGAGCGTTCGATTTGCTAAACGATATGCGTCACCCTTTAAACAAGCTAAAATAGCTTCAGAATGTGTGACATTATGTCGGTCCCGGGGTACCTGTACCTCCGCTACGGAAATAAAGATATATCAAAATATATAACATATTTTGCTTTCAAATCTTCAGAGTTGATAGATTATTGAATGATGTATCACTGGTGATAAAATCAAAGGGATTGGTCTATAAAAATTAAAAAACATCTGTGTAAAAAAGCGTTCATTACTTATTGATCACCCCTCGTATCATGATAGAAATAACTAGCAGTAACACCAAGTCCAAACTATTTGAAAATGGAAAAACTATAATTTTTAGGCAAAAATATACATCCATGTGACATCCTTTGGCCATGAGGCGTAAGCCCCTAAACTTTCGACCAAAACAGGATACCGGTATTTGCATTATCATGAAAATATTTCTCCTGGAAAATGGCAGCCATTTTGAATTCAACAGCCATCTTGAAAATTCCCTCTTGAGCAGAATCCTTTGTCTTTAAGGCATCAGCACATGATTAGCTGAACAGAATCCGACGACTGGTTTTTGAGGTATGCAGTATATAAAAATTATAAATTTATGAAAATGATGGCCATTATGATAATTTCTTCTTCAGCAGAGTCCTAATGGACCATTTTGAATTCAGTGGCCATCTTGAAAATGACTTCTTAAATAAAGTCCAAATTTTAAGAATATGATATTAAATGGTTATGAAATAACTAACCACATCAAGCAGTGCATTTTTCATCTCTGTCATCCATGGTGTGCTAGAGCTGGATAGGAAGCCATGAATCAAGATCTTTGTTTCCCGGGTCTTACTGTACACATCTCTAAAATAAGAATGTACGTTACTTTACATATATCGAAACAAGATAAGAGGGTACGTTATGAAATACAACGTTCACGATATGCTCATCGTTAAAATAACTTTCGTTACAACACTCATTTCTTGCTGCATGTATTACAATGTCTTTAGACAACAACGTGCATTACTGAAATAACCCTCAGTACGAAACAATCTCAAATGAAACTTCTGTCCTTGACCATGCACACGTGATTATGATAATATGCAAAAAAAAAATTATGAATTAATATAGCAGCTATAGAATGATTACTTACGGTGGATTGAGGCTTTCGATGAACTGGGGATAGTCTCTATTCTGTCGTGTAAACAGCTCAAACTTAGCGTTGATCTCATCAGGCAACCATGGCAGGGGGAAATTTTGAAATGGGGCGCTAAAGTCGAAGCAACCAACCGGTCCTGCACACACTTGAGTTTCAGTTCTGAAGTTGAAACATGATTTTTTGAATATTTATTTTATCTAAGGTTAATTATTTTAGAAAGTATTGTCCAGAAGTGATGTTCTATATCGAGGCGGAAGACATAGAGATTATCCTATATGAGGTTCAGGATATTGGGATTATCCCGAGGCTAATATAATATATTTGCCCGAGGGCCGCAGGTCCCGAGGGAAAATATATTATATTGGCCAAGGGATAATCCCAATATCCTGAACCGACTATAGGATAATATGTTTATCCCATACCAATATTGGTCATCTGGTTAACATTGTTCAATCGTGGAAATATTTTAGAATATTCATGTCAAGTTTTGTTTTCTTGGCCCGTGGGCGGATTTTCCTGTTCTCTCAAATATTCCCACATTTATTTTCCCAAATTTCTGATTGATTAAGTTGATGCTCCTTCTCTTTTTTAAACCATCAAACAGATCCCGATTGTCTGTGTTTTCTCCATTGTCGTTTACAGTCATTACGCGAACGTTACAAATTATGAACAAATATGCGAGTAGCGATTGTGACGTAGCGGGCAAATATACTATATCTGCCCGCTCGGAGCGGGACGTAAATAGGGGTTATGCACTGGGAGGTTTTGGATACAGGGAATATCCCGAGGGATATACAATATATCTTCCCGAGGGATCGAAGGGACCGAGGGAAGATGTATTGTTTATCCCAAGGGATATTCCATGTATCCAAACCGACCGTGCATAACTGGTGTATCTCATACTTGAGTGGGTTTAGGGAAGATATAACCTTTTCCACCTTTTTCAAATGACAAGATATTTATATTTAACATTTTCGTAATATTCTTTTTGTTCAATACAATGAAATTGTAACATTTAAACTTACAAAAATTAAATTTTAAAATTAAAAAATTAAAACTTTTGATATTTAAACTTTTTTAAACTTCCGGGAGCGGGATGGATATATTATATCTGCCCGCATTTGGCCTGGAACGGGACATATACAATATATCCTTCCCGCTCCTCAGATACGATATATATTCCCGGGTGATATCTACCCCAAACCCACTCAAGTATGAGATACAGCTATATCTGCCCGCTGATGAAAATATAAGTTTTTACAAACCGGCTTTATGTACCTGTAACACGTCCAAGTATGGGATAAATAATTTTATGTCTCTGATCGAGGGGGTCCCCTCTTGTCTTTCAAAATATATAAACTTGAGTTTCAGTTTTGGAAATAAAAAACATGTTTTTAATGTTAGCATCGGTAACATGTTTTTTTCATTTCCATGCAACTTAATTCCATGCTGGACTTAATATCGAACTAAAATGGTTGGTTAAGTGTTATATCATGTAAAAACGTCATAAGAAATTTTCATTTTCGCCTACTTACATGTAGCTTGTACAAGCCGTGGCTTTCGTCCTATCAAAATTGTCAACAATTGCGATTCGTTATTAATTTTTTTTTGTATTTCATAGAAAACTCACCTATAACAGCCCTGGGCAGTTGCTACAAAACTCACAAATATAGTGAGGGCAATGACGCGCATATTGAATTCAGGTTGATCAACACTCAAATTACGAAATAAATAATGTCAATGTTTCACATTTTATATGAAATGCAATGCGTGCATATTCAGTTTATACAGGGTGGGCCTAAAAATGACTACACATTATAAAAAGTGGTTTACTCGATCTGTAATACGTATTCTCTAAATATTTAAATATTATTAGTTGTATACTCAGTATTATAAAAAGGTAGGCTAGTCAACATTCAAACAAAATTTGAATTTTTTACAACGACTTTGCTCCTTTGGAAGTTGCAAAGGTGCATAGTAAATGGATCAACGAAAACAATGCGAGTTTTGATAATAGGGTTCCCTAAGATAATCCAATTAAAGGAATGAATTTCATTTCATAAAACTATTTATACACACCTTATCCTGATGGATACTTTTTGTTGCAATTACAACCATTTTCTAAATGAATTTTGTAAGTTTCGAAAATGGTGTATTTGAAAACAAGTGTTCCCATTCAGCTTAATACACATTACTCTGTTCTGTTCGGAATTCAATTTTTATTTTGATCCATGTTAAAAAACTTTTTATGAGATGAATCTTGGAGATGTAGCTTTTCATGTGATTATTTTTTGGCCCACACTGTAACGTTCTATAAAATGAACGTCGTGTCTTGCAGAGATCTTTAGATCTTTATGACACTACCTATGAAGGGGTGTGTCTTAAAGTAAACATGATTTTCGTTTGATTAAGGATAAATAATCGTAATCGTGTGTCATTTTTATGATCTAAACATGACAATGAAAATGTTGTTATCAAGTGTATAATTGACCAACCACATTGGCCTTTCTCAACAGTAACCTCACTATATTAATTCCATTTGTATGTACAGGGTGTCACAAATATCGGCCATATCACTGATTGAAAATAAAGTGAAAATTGTTATTTGACTACCGAAAGTGTTAGTTTGGTGAATCATTTCAATCCGTGAAAATCATGTTTCAACCTCACTATATTAATTCCATTTGTATGTACAGGGTGTCACAAATATCGGCCATATCACTGATTGAAAATAAAGTGAAAATTGTTATTTGACTACCGAAAGTGTTAGTTTGGTGAATCATTTCAATCCGTGAAAATCGTGTTTCAACCTCACTATATTAATTCCATTTGTATGTACAGGGTGTCACAAATATCGGCCATATCACTGATTGAAAATAAAGTGAAAATTGTTATTTGACTACCGAAAGTGTTAGTTTGGTGAATCATTTCAATCCGTGAAAATCGTGTTCAGGCCGATACAGAACCTTATAAAATGATTGGGATGTTTGCACATAGATGCCGGCAAGACTTTCTGTAGAAAAATCAGTCAGAACTGATCCTGCAACAAAAGATTTTGTCAGCATAGTAATTATGTGTTTGCAGGTGAATATCAAATGATGATTGGAGAAAATATTACAATTTGAAAATCTTCCCAGGCCTCTTGCTCCTTTTGTATTTGTTCAAAAATTATAAAGCCTTAAAGTGCATGGTACCCATGAGAACTCGTCCCGGGTTACTCGAGTCTCTAGCCAAATTACTTGACTAGAAGTGATTCCATCCGGACCACCGTGTACTAATAAAAAAGTTTGTCCTGGAGGAAGAGAAATTTAAATGCTGTTTTAAAAGTCGTGAGAATATTTGATCAATTAGGATCGAACCGAACACTGTTCTTTGTGAGATATTGCACGGGTGTTAAAACACGAATATACCATGAGCACATGCTTTGAGGATCCGCGTTGTTTGAACCTACCGCCGAGCACACATATACATTGAGACCCGTTACACAGTCATGATACCGCCGAGCAAGCTCAATGCATCATCGGGTCTGCTTTACCCCCGTGTATTGCATGCTTTCGTCTAAACTTAAAATCATTTTGTCTGCCATTTTTAAAAACATCTGTTGAGGTTGATCTTTATCTCACCAAAATGGCCGTTTTTACCGAAGGATCTTTTTCAAAAGATTGCTCCTAGAAAAGACTAAATAACCCGATGTAGACGGACATAACATATGCCGCATACCGGGCTAAGGCTACATACCAAATTCAATGAAGGTATGTTTATTACATTTCAGTTAATTTTTAGCAAGAGCCCACATGGTATAGCGTAAAAAACAATAAAACAAACAGGGCTCGGTGATAGCACACTGTGGCCGAAGAATAAGGTAAGTCCCGGGGAACTCTTTAGGCTAAGCGTTAAGTTCCGGCAGCTCCACCACCCAACTGCTAAGATGGCTACATTTCAATTCAATGCAAAATCTTCTGACATACTGGTTTAATATTTTTCATTGTCTCTGATCATTGGCACCCTCGTATAACATTGTTCGTGTCAGACTGTACATTTTGTTACAAGTGCAAGTGTACCCGTCGTTCGTATTGACATCATTGATAACTAAAATACGAATGTTCGCCTTTTTAACGTGATCGCTATATAGAGCTCTTTACACTTGGAGGGCCAAAAGTTTGTTTACATCCGGGGCGCCGAAAATGGGTGACAAGAAAAAAGTAAGCGATGATAAACCTCAATCAGAGACGGAACGTCAGTTTCTAGGTAAGTATGGTTATGTCGGTTGAAAGAGTACTTCTTATCTCGCTACTTGGTAAAGTGCTATGCAGTTCTATCATCGAAATGTAAAACAAAACACGGCCAAAACATGTAGGAATTCGTAGAGAAGGAAAAAGAAGTCAGTAGACTAGATCTAGCCTTTGACTCAATAAGCACACAGATCCAGATCCAGCTCCTATTGATAGTAGGCTCAAAGTAAAAGGATAAATGGGAAGATAAGACACCGCACCTGTAATCTCTTCTTTATGTATTAGTTTGAATGGTTGCATGATATCCATTAGAGTCTGTTGATGCTGTAATTCAAATTCTCCCAGGACATTTATTTCAAATTTTCAGAGCGTAAAGATAATGGAGTGCTTCGGTAATTTCCGGCAGTGTCCGATGTTGTTCGTCTCTCAAATTACGTCACATCGCAACAAACAGCCAATGAAAGTAAAGGATCGCGTAGCCTAACAAACCGTTGTTATTGTTTCTACAGGAGTTTAAAGAAACGTCATTGGACTTCTCGGTAACCTCTGATGTGACGTCATCTGGAGTGGCGTCACATTCTCAGAAAAGGCATTTGACTTCGGGAATAAACATTTGAACAACGGAAATAGCCGAAGCACCCCATTAAATATACGCTCGCTTATTTTATGCTTTTATCAACAGACGCTTTTTTGGATGTGTGGCTTTAGTGATTGGAGTTGAAGCTACATGTAACAACAGTACGTATCGTTTGAGGTATGACATGTGATATTTATTGATAAACTGACTCCAAAATCAAGGAAAAATAATTTTTCCGAAGATCTCGCGTCTTGTCCTTGAGTATATTTATTGAGCCTAGACACAGAGGAGGTAATCTGGCAGAGGTCCGTGAATAAGCATAAGTAAACCTGTGGGCCGAAAGATCGACATTCAAATCTGACAACTGGATCTTGACCTGATTTTTATTTTTCGATTAAGACAAGAGAAGAGGAGGGAAATCCTCAGAGCTAAAGGAGATGACAGACATAACTACATCTCTTGCTTACCACCCAAGTTTTTAAGAAAATGTTGAATCCGGCATTGAATGACGTCATTTGTCTGTCAATTTGACCAATCAGTGACAATGTCATCTCAATACACATTTACATTATAGACGTACATATGTTATCTCTGAACCCTTGGGTTTTCCCCCTCTTAGACAAGATGCTAGGCCTTGATATTAATTTGTGTTTGTTTCAGAGCGAACACAAGTAAGCAGTCAAATTAAAGATGTACTAACTAAAGTTATAGAGAACAGACCACTTGACCCTATAGCCTTTATCGCTGACTAGTAAGTATTTCTTGGGGCAAATGTTACTACACACGAAAGAAGATATACAGGTACCCTTTGTTTTCATTTAACTTCACTTTATAAAAGAGAGCTCTTCACTCTTTCAGTTAACAATAAATCTATGAGGTCACTGGGCTAATCAGAGTTTGTTGTCAAAATATGGATAACTTTCTATATATGGTCATTTTCTCTGATAGTGATAGTGTAGTTTTTTTAATCAATAGGTTTATTTCATAAATATAAACAAATACAGGTATACAATGAAAAACAGGTTCAGGGCAAATCGCCTTCCGGCATTTCATGTGTTCCTTCCACTTCACTGATTGGGTGAGAAAAGGTCAGTCCGGGGGGGGGGGGGGTCTGCTAAACAGCATACAGTCTGTACTAGGCAGAGGGTAGTTTATAACTAGACTCTGCATGCAGGGTAAGGAACACAGTAGGTGCATCTGTAGACCTTTATTATGCAATTTTATATTGTATATGTGAAATAGATGGTTACCCTACAGATGCACATATTGCTGAATTTAAGCAAATCTTCCAATGACCAACCAACACGGAATCTAGATTGAACCACATTGGCATATTAAAAAGCTATTGAATTAATTCTGTTCCAAAATATTTTACAATATTGTTGTTGTAGGCTCAAGCTTTACATATATAAATCATAGATTAAAAAGTAAAAATATACAATGATTTGTTTCAGTTTTGAAAGTGTGGGTGATAAAAGTAATAGGCTTTCAAAGTCTCACCAGCAGTTATTACTAACCCATCACTCAAGACCTGCATTTGAGGCTAATGTACGCATAGCTTATGATATACTCAGTCTGTCTAAAGGTAAGAACATTGCAAAGGACATTATATGTAAGTTCCATTGCAGTACGGAGCTGGATAAATAATTCAATATTTACACATTTGATCATAGTATATATTAATAAAACAGATGCTTTTAATGTATTTAATAATATGCACAGATTTGTTGCACATGCACAAGTCATTATTGCAGTTTATAAACGACAACAGTTTTTTTTTAATGTTTAGTGATAGTATGAGTGTAGTATAGCGTACAGTGCTGTGATATTCTATTTGGACATAAAGTATATTACCTTTACAAAGCAAATTCTTTGCACATACTTTCAAATAACCTTGCACTGTTTGTATAGATTTACACATCAATTTGTACCTATTATACAGGAACATGTGTTTTTGATTATTAATGTATATTCTTAATATATTCAGTAACAAGGACAAAATATGATGAGGGTAATTGATTGATCTATACCTGTGTTTTCATATCATGATTATTAATCTATCTCACCCTTGCACACTTTGTCTTCAGCAGGCCCGAAGTTGAGCAATCATGATAAATATTCTCATTCCTTACATTAACAATTTGTGCTCTTGATTTCATTTGTTAAAAACATGATATTTTGTTCTTTTATTTCTGATTTTAATCTATATGAATGTAGATCTAATACTCTTTGCAGTTTTGATATCCTGTGTTGAATTTCTTATTTAGCTAAACCCCATAGTAAAATAAAAGCAGGGATGAAAAAGCCTACCTGTAAGTGAAAAATTTCTGAGGAACAAGATTTTTAAGGAACAAAGTTATTAAATCAAGTTAAAATGTTGTTATATCGCCACTGAGACGTGGCGATATATTGTTATAGTTTATATGTTATGTGACCCAAACTGGTGTTCCATGTCAGCAGTCTGTATCTGTATCAATCGTTACACTTTTGTAACCTCACCAGGTGGTAATATTGTCATGTTAATGTTTGTATGATTAAGTATATGATTGTTATATGTACCTGTATTTCACCACCACAAGTGGTGACATATTGTTCCAACTTTTTTGTGGACAATGTTCAGTGTTTGGTGTTTGACAGTCAGTGATCACAATTCAGCTTTTGGCATCTGTAACAAATGGCTGGTGGTGACATTTTGCATGTTAATGCCTTGTTTGTCTGCTCAATGAATCATTTAGCTAGACGTTATATAAATGTATTAGCTATACAGTAGTACCTAGCTGAGGAATGGCTTTAGTTGATAAAGCAGCTATATTAGTGGGAGGATTAGGCAATCTAAAGGGGTGGGGAATCAGGATGATAATCCAATGGTTAAGTAATTGGGGTTAATTTCAAAATTAAATTCTGTCACTACTAGTGTTTTAATGTTACTAACACTGCATGTGTCTGATGACACCTTATTGTTGATACTTCATTGGGTATCAGAGGCACTTCATTTAGCATGTAACACAATATAGCATAATTTATATTTTATATAATACTAACACTGCATGTACATATATTTCCTGTGTGAACATATACTAATACTAAATAATAATAATAACAAGCATAACCTACTGTTGTCTGTTGCTCTAACAATAAGTTTCAAGTAATCACAATGATAGTTATTGCAGTCGATCAGAGGGAAGAACCACTAAAGTATTAATATGTCAGTGTTCTCCCAAGTTGATTTTCAGTGGCTGCATGATTTTTTTAATCTCTTGACTACCCAGAGTGACAAGACTTATCGTCACATAAGAAATGACCTTGAAACCTAGAGTGATGAGATAATCTGTCACTAAAATTGCTCTAATTTTATCTTTCATCCAATTTACACCAAAAATGTTTTAAAATGTGTAGCAATGATCTATGCCGACTAATTTCAATAAATGGGACATTAAAAATAAATTGAGCATTGCCTGTTATGTATATGTGTAGTAAAATGTCAAAAGCTGACAAAAATGAAAAACTTGGATCGATTTTAGAGTCTGGGATTTAAGGGGTTAACCCAAAATTTGGGCAAAATAAACTGGCTCAAATCGTCAATTGGGTGCCAGATGATACCTCAATATTCTGTGGCGTAGCACTATATAACTTCAATACTTGGGAGAACACTAGTGACCTCTTTACAAACAGATACATACTAGTATGAGATCTTTATGCCAGATAATACAATAAAACCTGTCTTAAGTGGACTGACTTAAAGTGTTCAAGCTTAAAGCCTCCAAACATGTGCATCTGCTCTTAAAGAATCCTACGGTCTCTTTAAATTGGGTACAAACGTAGTGGGGGTCGTAGGATGCAATAACATGTGTTCTAGAAAGTAGCATTTTGCACAGTGTTCACTTTAGACAGGTTACCATATCTTGATGTATGCATGCATTTTAGAAAGTAGCATCTGCAATTCTGCATGTCTTTCTGATTTAAGCCAACTATACCTCTGTGTTCCATGCAACATTTCTAGAAATCTCATGCTTTGACATGAAATAATGAAAAAGATTTTAGGAAGGGTAAACAAAAATATATAGGCGTTCATCATCAAGAGTTATAGAATTATTTATCTAAGAATATTTTTCAGTATATTTGTAAATGCATTTTTCATCTTTATACGGACAATTTCTCAATATTTGTCTACATGTGTTATGTTGATCACAATTATGTGATATTTAGAGTTTAATTGATTGTTTTATTTTCATTGCATTCTGTTTTAGTGCACAAGACCATAAGGGGAATAAATGGCTCAGTATTTATGGACCTTTTGAATCTGTTGACAGAGTAAGTATCCAATTGAATACTCTTATACACTTTATGAATTATAAGAATATGCTTTCCATTAATAATGTTGTAATTGGGAGCTGTTCCTAATTCAATATTTGAATGGCTTGTTTACTGTATAAGTGACATGAGACTTTAACCTAGAAATTATTCAGAACCCTATAAGAATAGAATAAAGCCAAGTCATTAGAGAGTTATACATTGTAATGTTGAGTTGATGTATCCATCGTAATTATGGCTAATAAGAGTTTCAGTGTATGCATGTCTGTAAATGTCTCATTACATCCCAAGGAAGACCAAATACACTTAACATTCTCATCTTTTAGAGGGATGGTGCCTGGTGTGAAAGAGAAACTGTACAAGAAACTGCAATGCAAATCCCATGAGGTCATCAGATATGATATATTTCGATCTGGAATCTTTGCCTGCTTTGTACTGCAAGGTATGGAAGAAAAAGATGTTATTAACCATGAGGGATTTCATATGGGGAATATCACAAGGATGATAAAAAGATTTTGAAAAAATGAATATTTTTGAAAAAATTTTATTTGAAAAATGAAAATCTTTGAATAATGTAAAAAAAGAATTAATATAATATATGGGTTGATATCCATATCATCCCTGATATCATCCCTCTAATCCCAATATCATCCCTGATATCATCCCTATCTCAAATATGTGATTTATCAAGTTGCTATTATATACCTGATTTTGCTCTGACCATGGTATAAAGTAGGATGTCAGATTAAGCTTTTAGTATTTTAGATAAACCTAATGTGATACAGACCATTCACAAATGAAATAAACAATTTTGCAGTAAAATCTGCAAAGTGGAACACCTCTGTAAGTGGAACACTTTTTAGAGGTACCAAAGGTGTTCCACTTATACAGGTTTTACTGATAAATATGTGCAGAGTGCAGAAAAAATTGCAAAGAGAGAAGATGATTATGTAACTTCAGTGCTCAATGAGATTAAACAACCAGTGGGAGGTGGGATCTTAGATTCATAGATGTTGCAATAAAACTTGGATATTTCGACCCTTGCTGTAATCTTGTTCTTTGTTGTTTCCCATTAGACTTTCTTAAAGAAGCTGAGGGCTTGTACTGCACATTGGACCTTGGGAAAACAGGTAAAGCTGACAAGGCACTGTGTGATACAGCCCTCCACCAACTTCTTCTCTCGGTGTCTACAGCAAATAACACTGGGGAATTAAGGTGAGTTTGAAAATTTTATATTTTTTGTTTTGTAGGCATATAAAGTTCAAGAATTTTAACACCTTTCTGAAAGGAATTACATATTTAATGTTGAAACATGTTTTTCCAAGAAGTGTTTTGTCCTTTTATTGATTCAAATGAGAATTAGCCCCTTTATGGGAACCAGGGGTATATAATATTTGGTAATGGAAATATTTTTTCAGTTCAAAATGCCTTTTGGTTACTAATGCCATGAAATTTGAGATGTGTGTACATGTTTAAGCATCCTTAAATATTTGTTTATAAACTGAATCTAAATCTAGCTTTATATGAAATTACCAATAAATAAATATAATAGATGTCAGCAGCATATTGTAAATGTTGTTTACCAAACCACGAAACCAGCCATATTATGCCTTCGCCATTCCTACTGTTTTTATTATTGATATCAGATGAGTTTAGTCTGAAATATTTTTTGTTTGCTATTTCAGTGCATTAGAAGCTGGCTATAACCTTGGGCCAGACAAACTATACACAGCTCTCAACCAGGTAAAATATGAAGTTTCCTATTGCAATGCACTTAACATTTTTTAATAAATCACCTGCATGGCAATTTTAAATGTCTGTTTTTATGTTGTTTCACCTGTTTTTCCCTATTTTGTTCTCTGAAATAGGTTCACATTTCTTTATACCATCATTTTTTTGCTCGTATTTATTTTTTCCTGACAAACCTTTTTAAGGTATTTATTTTCTACATTTAAAGTTTTGTCTTGATATGAGAATCTGGATTTGCTGTAGTGCTTCAGGACATTTTGTGGATGAATATGATATAAATGTTAGTAAGATATTTGTAAACAGAAAATGCATTTGCTGTTGATATTTTCTCATTTCATATTTTGATATTGCCAATATGTTTCTCATTCTAGGCTCTCTCAGTGACAACTGAAAAGGGAACAATTTCTTGTGATGATTTTCTGATTGCTGCAGCAGATGCTTTTCTACTTAAGGTAAGAAGGATAAAGCATAAAAGAAATAAAGTGTCTAATTTGGAAATATTTAGGGCTTTTCCTGTCAGATACTTATAGTAACATTACTTGCAATGCACAAGAAACGTTCAGATGAAAAATCGACCCCTTGAGCCAAGGCAATGGCCTAGCTAGGCCCATAGGGCTGTGGGTTCCCTCAGGTCTGCCAGAGTAATCCCTTACAATTCAGTGAGGATCAATAAGTTGAATATGCAGTTTTGTTAGTCAAAAACATCTTTTTGCCAAAATGTATCTTCAATAAAAGTTGCAACCTTAAACATATATTTATTGATTAGGCCAGTTGAAACTTGCTATTCTGGTTTTCTTAGGTCATCGATGATAGAATTTTGATGAGCAGAATATGCGATTTATTTATGATTCAATCTGCAACTATTCACTTGAGCCTAATTCCAATAAAGATGTGCTAATTTTAGGATTGTTAGGTTTCACATTACTCAAGGGGCGAGGAGGAAAATTCTCAATAAATGGTGTATAGTTGGTTTGGCAGCATTTTCAGTTAGGGGAGAGTCTTGGATGAAACTTCCACCTAGGTGATAGCTTCACAGAGTGGTAGGAAGTTCTTTTTTTTGAGGAGTTAGCCCCCCACCCCCCAAAAACACCCTACCCTGGGGAAAAAATTGTTCACACTAAATAACCTTAGATATTTTGATGTTTGTAAGTGACATACATAGATATTATATATATGAATCACTTGCAGTATAATTGATGCTGATAAATCCTAAAGAATTTGAAAATTAGTACAAAGTATGTACCCCAGGGGGCAAATTCGTGACTCATTTTCTTACTATTTTGATTGTAACTTTTCAATTAGACACTGTAAGAGGTTGGAAAAATTCATGTGAAGTGCCCAATAGCAGGGTTAGAAACCCTGAAAGATGCAAAGCCATGGAAGACGTAGGAGCTGAGAAAAAAATTGTTGATTTTTCGAAAAATTTGACATTTTTAACAGCTGGATTTTGTGTATGACTATAGCTGACCCTTATAACTTCTAGATCCATCCCTCTATGATGATATTTATGGCTTTATAGTGTGAAACTAAGATGTAAAACATAATTTAGATGGGTTTTAAGGAAGTTAAAGGTTTTAAACAAGTCCAAAATTGGAAAAATTGTAAATATAAGGTTTCAAATTTACGAATTCCAGGTATAGCCATGGCTGACCCCTATTGTTTCTAGATCCATCCCTCTATGATGATATTTATGGTTTTATAGTATGAAACTAAGATGTAAAACATAATTTAGATGTGTTTTAAGGAAGTTAAAGGTTTTAAACAAGTCCAAAATTTGAAAAATTGTAAATATAAGGTTTCAAATTTACATATTCCAGGTATAGCCATGGCTGACCCCTATAGTTTCTAGATCCATCCCTCTGTGATGATATTTATGGTTTTGCCATGTGGAACCAATATGTAAAACACAATTTAGATGGGTTTTAAGAAAGTTTAAGGTTTTAAACAAGTCCAAAATTTGAAAAATTGTGAATATAAGGTTTCAAATTTACGAATTTCAGGTATAGCCACGGCTGATCCTTATGATTTTTACATCCATACCTCTATGATTAAATATACAGTTTTAGAGTGTGGGACTAAGATTTAACATATCCAAAATAAATTTTAAGGAAGTTTAAGGTTTTAAACAAGTCCAAAATTTGAAAAATTGTAAATGTTAGGTTTCAAATTTATGAATTTCAGGTATAGCCAAAGATGACCCTTATGGTTTTTACATCTATACCTCAGGGATGAAATATATAGTTATAAGAGTATTTGACCAAAATGTAAAAGATACCTAAGATGAGTTTGAAGGAAGTTCAAGGTTTTAAACAAGTGCAAAATTTGAAAAATTGATCTCAAAATTGGTCTCAAATTCACGTTATTCAGGTACAGCCGTGAATGAGCCCTGATAATCGAAGGTTATGAGCATAATAGTATCAACTATGATATCATAGCTTAGAGACCAGGTGTAGAATATATACCTGTTGCAGCAGTTAGTCTGCTGCATATAGATGGAGTGAAAAGTCGTGAACTACAGTAAAATCTCTCTAATCTGAATGCTACTGGTATTTGGACCAGCTAAAAGCATTCTAATTAGGAGTGTTTGAATTTTGAGGTTTTTACATCTATAATACAAGTTCTGGATTTTGAAGAAATATGAATGCATTCTCAATGAAAAATATTAATAATATTTATACTGACCACATAAAAAGCTTAATAGCATTCCAAAATCCAATTCAAACGTTTTGATATCATAACAATTCAGTGTTAAACTGACAATATTTGAGCAATTTTGTAAGAAATATGTGATATTTGGTAAAAAGAGTTCAATTTAGACAGGTTAATTTTTCAATTAGATATGATGATTGGTAGGTATTCACAATAGTCAGATGTTGGGATATATAGGTTTCACTGCTGATATATCATTTATACAAGATGATGAACTAGAACTACTGTACTAGGTGCATTTGATAATTTTTACCACAATGTTAATACAATGTCAGGAAAAGAAAGCACCCATGACACTTTGCTTGTACAACTTGAAAATCAACAACACTTTAAGATTTGATAAAGGTGTCTACCAAATGAGTAATCCACATAAATTCAAATGCAAGCACTTGGCATGCTATTCCCTATGATGCTATTTATAGATTTTTTGTCAATGTTATTGATCAGCTTATTGGTTTCATCACTTTCTCTAGAATCTAAAATTGACCTTGGGTTTATGAGAGTGGTAAATTGGAATGCAGTTATATGAAGTATTGAATTGGCTGGAATTGGACACAAGTTGCCTAGCTATGTGTGAGTAAACTATGATCTTATGTGGATACAAACAGTTCGTTTGACAATGATCATCTGTAAAATCAGAACTTAAAAAGGGGTTTGAAATGGAGATCGATGAAACCATACCACAAATTGATAAAACTTTCGTGATCGATGCAATGGCTATGACAAAAGGAAAATTAAGATTAACTTATATGTTGAAATTTGGAGAGTTTTGGAAAGCTTTATTTGACTACTCCATCAAATCTAGTAAAGGAACCCAAAAAATAGATTTCATATTTGACTCCTAGTAGTCTCAATCAGTAAAGGATTCTGAAAGAATGCGAAGAATGGATGCTTCCCCTACTGAACTTTAATCCAAAGAAGAAATTACACCATTACCTAAAAATATGAATACCTTTTGGCCAAGTCATATAATACAAATTTTCAAAGATTACAAAGAAATTTAATAAAGCAGCATTCTAAAAGTGTGCCAAATGTCAAGATTGTTTTAAGTGGAACTATTGGAGTGAACTTAAATATCTGTGAAAATGATAACTGAAATCCCCTGTTAAATTCCACTCTTGAAGAGGCTGATTTTAAACTTATTCACTCTGTTTTACATTCAGCAGAAGAACATGTGGGACTGCAGTAATTTGCATCAATTGACACTGATATTCTAATTTTATGACTATCATTTCAATAAATGTAAAAAATTCTTCAACTGCTAGAAAACGTCATCTGCAAAGTCAGTATGTAAACATTTTCTACAATGTCTGTTTAATATTAATCATATATATCACCATATATACTTTTTTGATCTACATGAAGATTTTAGTGTGACAAGACCCTTTTACCCTGGAGTTCCTAATCTCATTGCACTAACGGGAGTTTCTAGGCCCAGCGGGGTATGATCCTTATTTTCCCAAATAATTACTGTTGCCTGGTGACAAGTTGTTTTATTGGGAGTGTAGTGATTATAATTTGATAATTTATAATAATATTTTGTATTAGAAGATGATCATTGCTTAATTACAGTATGGGCATGACAAAATATAGAGAACTCATGTTTCTTTTAATTAACCATGTCTTTATGTATTTTGACAATGTAGAACATTACATCGAACATGTTGATGTGAAAAAGTAAAAATGCTATATCACATAATAAATATCATCAAATAATAATTAATTAGTTATAATCCATTTAACCAATTAATTACTACACTGTATACGATATCCCTAGGAACAGTTACACTTTAGGGGGGGGGGGGATTTATTAACCTCTCACCCCCTTAGGAACTCTAGGGTAAGGTCCTCAACTCTAATGATTTTTCTTTTTAACAATACTTGTAACATGGATAAAACCTGACCAGAATATTTTCAACATCTAATTTCTAAGCTAAAAAGTCATCCATTCAAAAAGAGGGACATCCAAGGCAATACCTGAAATCGAAAAGGAGGACTGAAAGTATCGCAACAGATTTAGGATAGTCACATGTTGGATTTTTGCTTTTTTCTGAGGATTTGAGGAGGTGCATATGTTAGGCCAATGCATTTCCTCCAGGAAAAGCACTTATAGAGATGATAAAATAATTTAACAACCCACCCACATGCATCAATATGTTGCGTTTTGACACACAATTAACCCCTTTAAAGAAATAATGCATTCCATCAGGGGTTTAAAAGATATCAAAAATATGGGTGACCAAAATTAAGCTGAAAGTAATGGAGCACATGAGTTTTCCCTATGGGAAAATAACAGGAAAATATTGTTTTTGCTTTATCTAAAAGAAATTTATTATTCCTTTTTATGGGTTAACTTTGTCTTAAAACACAACATATTGATGCAACAAAAATTGAAAAAGCAGGGGTGAAAGGGCTTGAAAGGGATGGATTTAGAAACAATAGGGGTCAGCCATGGCTATACCTGGAATTCGTAAATTTGAAACCTTATATTTACAATTTTTCAAATTTTGGACTTGTTTAAAATCTTTAACTTCCTTAAAAACCATCTAAATTATGTTTTACATCTTTAGTTCCATACTACAAAACCATAAATATCACCAAAGAGGGATGGATTTAGAAACTATAGGGGTCAGCCATGGCTATACCTGGAATTCGTAAATTTGAAACCTTATATTTACATTTTTTCAAATTTTGGACTTTTTTAAAACCTTTAACTTCCTTAAAACCCATCTAAACTATGTTTTACATCTTAGTTCCACACTATAAAACCATAAATATCATCATAGAGGGATGGATCTAGAACCTATAGGGGTCAGCCATGGCTATACCTGGAATTCGTAAATTTGAAACCTTATATTTACAATTTTTCAAATTTTGGACTTGTTTAAAACCTTTAACTTCCTTAAAACCCATCTAAATGATGTTTTACATCTTAGTTCCATACTATAAAACCATAAATATCATCATTGAGGGATGGATCTAGAAACTATAGGGGTCAGCCATGGCTATACCTGGAATTCGAAAATTTGAAACCTTATATTTACAATTTTTCAAATTTTGGACTTGTTTAAAACCTTTAACTTCCTTAAAACCCATCTAAATTATGTTTTACATCTTAGTTCCATACTATAAAATCATAAATATCATCATAGAGGGATGGATCTAGAAACTATAGGGGTCAGCCATGGCTATACCTGGAATTGGTAAATTTGAAACCTTATATTTACAATTTTTCAAATTTTGGACTTGTTTAAAACCTTTAACTTCCTTAAAACCCATCTAAATTATGTTTTACATCTTAGTTTCACACTATAAAACCATAAATATCATCATAGAGGGATGGATCTAGAAGTTATAAGGGTCAGCTATAGTCATACACAAAATCCAGCTGACAAAAATGTCCAATGTTTCGAAAAATCAACAATTTTTTTCTCAGCTCCTACCTCTTCCATGGCTTTGCATCTTTCAGGGTTTCTAACCCTGCTATTGGGCACTTCACATGAATTTTTCCAACCTCTTACAGTGTCTAATTGAAAAGTTACAATCAAAATAGTAAGAAAATGAGTCACGAATTTGCCCCCTGGGGTACATACTTTGTACTAATTTTCAAATTCTTTAGGATTTATCAGCATCAATTATACTACAAGTGATTCATATATATAATATCTATGTATGTCACTTACAAACAACAAAATATCTAAGGTTATTTAGTGTGAACAATTTTTTCCCCAGGGTAGGATGTTTTTGGGGGGTGGGGGGCTAACTCCTCAAAAAAAAGAACTTCCTACCACTCTGTGAAGCTATCACCTAGGTGGAAGTTTCATCCAAGACTCTCCCCTAACTGAAAATGCTGCCAAACCAACTATACACCATTTATTGAGAATTTTCCTCCTCGCCCCTTGAGTACATGGGATTGTCAGTATCTCTGAAAACAACTTAACACAAATTGAAAAATAGGCATAGTATTTGATTGATTTACGGTGTAAGTATGGGCGTGAACTGAAACCAAATAACATGGATTTCTATAGTTAACAGTTGGGAAATGTTTTGTCTATGTTTTCAAAGAACAAAATTTTGCAATTGAGGTCCATGTATGTTTTAATGAAGTTATATTTTTCAGGTAAACAATGTTAACTGAAGAATTGTCAAAAGCAATGGAATCCACCGTTTTACCTGTATGTAATACTCTCACGGCGATTTATCGTCTATGGCAACATCACAATGGGTTGCACACGGCCTTAAAGACATGCTCGGTTACAATGTACCTGGCTTGCACGTGACTTGGAGTTTGACATGGACATGGGCGATTGCTTACATGGCCTGTACATGTCGGTTCATTAGCCCTACATGTATATTAATTTTTTAATTTGATAAACATGTATTTATTAATATAATATAAAAATCAATGAATAAGTTTATTCTGAGGGCCGGTTATCGTGAAATGTAATTAATTACATAATTAAATTTGGTGACAACAACAAAATATTGATGAGGCCCCTAAAGGCCAGAAGTTTAGCAATGAAGACCTCTGTTCCATTCAGATACTCATAAAAAGACTGGACTTTGATTAAGTTACTAGTACTCTGAGTGCACGTAAATGGACTAATTACACATAATTTGATTCATGTTATTCTTTCCTACACTGTTCTGACACCAGTCACAGTATCTTCGTAACGGAGGTGTATATAGGGATCAAAGGAGTCAGACCATGTGTTCATGGTGATTATAGGTCGAATTGTAAATCTTAGATTGGTTGATATAGGCCTATAAGTTTAATGACCAGTCTGACTTTGGGTATGTAAAAACACAATGATCAATTCAGAAGTGGAGAGCATCAGTGTTTTTATGCACTGAATTTTTAAGAATTCTCATACAATCAATGAAGAGACTTGAACAAAAATGTTATTTTCTAAAAATACCACAGCTTGAAATAAGGGACAAGAAGGTCATAATGTATTTTAGGATTATTTAGTATGAGAGATACAGCTATTAGCCCTCTGAAATAATAAACATACATTTCAGGACAGCTGGCAGACTGTGTGTCACTTTGGTTATTAACGATAACTTTATAGAAGAGATATCAAATTAAATACAATCCAATGCTGTAATGAATACATAATACAATTACACACAATGTCACAAGTGTCAGAATATCAATAGAAATTTGTTATCAGAATCCAACAAAAATATACCAGGGAACTTATAACTAGCATATAAATCTCTTTGTTAATTACATTCATCTACAGCCCTCACAGGAGCAAGAAATGTTTGTTTTTCTGACTTTAAGAAATTCTGTTTTGCATTCAAGGAGCAAAAAGGCTATTAGATTGTAAACCCAGCGAGTTTCAATTAGTAAAACCGCTATATCTGTGTCGTAATATTGATCTCCCGTCAGAAGTTGCAAATGCGACATAGATTCAAGTGGAAAAAATGTAATCAAATAGGTTAATAAAGGTGACGTTATTTCTATTTGGTTATTAGATGAAATACATTGGAAAATAGTCAATCAAGTTGTTCTATTTACAAGGTGTCATTTTCAATGTTGAAACCGAAATGATATCTAAATAATCCTGATTCGTTGCAAATTACTAAGTTATTTATTCCTCTTTTGTGCTCTTAAGGCTCCTAGATATGGCAAAAGTTTGTCCAAAATCCAACTTATACCAACTTTGACTAAAATTATAAATATTTCCCAGAAAATTCCAAAAGATTCACATTTCAAAATGTTGGGGGGGGGGGGGGGGTTAAGACATGCACTTTTGCCAGAGATAGGTGTTTCGAAATAATTAAATCTAGAAAATCTGCTTTTATCAGATATTACATTCAGTATTCCTAGACACGTGTTTCAAAGTTCAATATAACAGTAAAGATCAGCTACTTAACATGATATCCTTCACAAGGTGGTTGTGATCATAATGAGTCAATTCCGTGATGTAGATCATTACTGTTCACATTTATTTGACAAATAATCATAGATTCATGTACCAATAAAGATTTTGTTCTTATTGTTAACTAGTTCAGTATACTAAATTACTATTATTGTTTCTCCAATTCTTGGAACCTGGATCCATGAAACTGTTAGGGGGAATGGTACTCCTGTTGTCTTAGCTTGTAGTCACGAATACACCCTTCGGCTGTCGGCTACCGGATTAACCCATTATTCCATGACCAACTCAATTAAATTTGAATGGCATAGTGACAGGTACCATCTATATCTAAGAGTTGTCCATAAAATATTAGATTTATCCGGTAGACGACAGCCGAAACTTGCATTCACGAATGCAAGCTAATACTGTAGTTCTAGAAATAATGTTGAATGTTACTTACGTGTACAATGGGAGGTTAGAGCACAAGGTCAAGGCCATATGCCAAATGAGGACTTTTTGCCTTATTCTGATTTTTATCAGTTTCAGAAATATAATTTTACGAGAGATTGAGAAATCTAAACTACGAAAACAACGAATTGTATGGCCTGTAAAACTGCAGTGTACTATTCTGCGATTGTAGTTGTACAGTACTATTTTATGTATAGACAGATGACGCTCTTAATAAAAACATCAACTTCACCGCGGAATAGCCTCACAACGGTAAAGTGAGGTACCGTTTTCACAAATGGCGGACATAACCGATTTTCATGAACTGTTTGTTTAATAGAGCACCGAGACTAAATTCCTTTGGAACAACAATCAATCAACGTGTCTTTTAATACTCAGTGTACAGTTAATAATGTTCTACCATCGAAATAAAGTCTTTACTTTAACCAATCAAAATGAGATACGGGACAACGGACACTGTAATCACCATATGCCGTTGTCTTTCTAAATTACTCAAATTCAGATTCCGTTTGTCATTGACGATATCGAAGACGCTATATTGTGGCGATTCACGATCCAATTTGATCGAAAATGGGATTTCATATGATACATTATCACAAGAGCTTAATGCATGCACAGAACTAGCGACGATAAAATCCCATGAAATGAGGACCAAGTGATTAAACAGTTGAAGCGACGGTTATGTCCGCCATTTGTGACAACGGTAGCTATGGCAAAAGTTTGTCCAAAATCCAACTTATACCAACTTTGACTAAAATTATAAATATTTCCCAGAAAATTCAAAAGATTCACATTTCAAAATGTTGGGGGGGGGGGGGGGTTAAGACATGCATTTTTGTTAGAGATAGGTGTTTCGAAATAATTAAATCGAGAAAATCTGCTTTTATCAGATATTACATTCAGTATTCATAGACACGTGTTTCAAAGTTCAATATAACAGTAAAGATCAGCTACTTAACATGATATCCTTCACAAGGTGGTTGTGATCATAATGAGTCAATTCCGTGATGTGGATCATTACTGTTCACATTTATTTGACAAATAATCATAGATTCATGTACCAATAAAGATTTTGTTCTTATTGTTAACTAGTTCAGTATACTAAATTACTATTATTGTTTCTCCAATTCTTGGAACCTGGATCCATGAAACTGTTAGGGGGAATGGTACTCCTGTTGTCTTAGCTTGTAGTCACGAATACACCCTTCGGCTGTCGGCTACCGGATTAACCCATTATTCCATGACCAACTCAATTAAATTTGAATGGCATAGTGACAGGTACCATCTATATCTAAGAGTTGTCCATAAAATATTAGATTAATCCGGTAGACGACAGCCGAAACTTGCATTCACGAATGCAAGCTAATACTGTAGTTCTAGAAATAATGTTGAATGTTACTTACGTGTACAATGGGAGGTTAGAGCACAAGGTCAAGGCCATATGCCAAATGAGGACTTTTTGCCTTATTCTGATTTTTATCAGTTTCAGAAATATAATTTTACGAGAGATTGAGAAATCTAAACTACGAGAACAACGAATTGTATGGCCTGTAAAACTGCAGTGTACTATTCTGCGATTGTAGTTGTACAGTACTATTTTATGTATAGACAGATGACGCTCTTAATAAAAACATCAACTTCACCGCGGAATAGCCTCACAACGGTAAAGTGAGGTACCGTTTTCACAAATGGCGGACATAACCGATTTTCATGAACTGTTTGTTTAATAGAGCACCGAGACTAAATTCCTTTGGAACAACAATCAATCAACGTGTCTTTATACTCAGTGTACAGTTAATAATGTTCTACCATCGAAATAAAGTCTACTTTAACCAATCAAAATGAGATACGGGACAACGGACACTGTAATCACCATATGCCGTTGTCTTTCTAAATTACTCAAATTCAGATTCCGTTTGTCATTGACGATATCGAAGACGCTATATTGTGGCGATTCACGATCCAATTTGATCGAAAATGGGATTTCATATGATACATTATCACAAGAGCTTAATGCATGCACAGAACTAGCGACGATAAAATCCCATGAAATGAGGACCAAGTGATTAAACAGTTGAAGCGACGGTTATGTCCGCCATTTGTGACAACGGTATCTGACTTTACCGTTGTCAGGCTAGTCCGGGGGGAACTTAATGCCATCAACAGATGGCGTTTCCGAGCACGTTGCCAATAATACGTCCCAAGAATGGTTGACCAACAATGGCACTATTTCGACGTTCCAAGACGTCATTAATTCTGCTTATATTTCATATCGATTTCTCTACATCCAACCAATTATTTTATTGAACATCATTCATTTTTTTAAATTAGGTCACTTCCTCTTAAAAATCGATGTATGTTGACAAAATATCGCGACTTTTCCTCCCCGAAAAAGTAATTTTGTATGGGCGTTCTCCGACATTGACATTGTCCCTAAAGCTTAAGCATATGGAACTGTTTCAGCCTGTAATGTTAGCCGTCTACTTTTAATCTTAACCATGCCAGTCTCCCTTAATCAAAGCGGAAAGTATAAGATAAGTCCGCCCCATCAAGTGGATAATTTGATAATTTCTTAGATTGATCAAAATCAAAAATGTTTTATTCTGATACCCATCACATCTTTCTGTTTTCCAACGAGAAATATGGCTTTCTACAAAGGAACTGACAGAAGGCCGTTGTCATCCCACCGAACGAAGGGATGTAGAGAAGCCATCCATCCGATCGTTTCTCCGTCTGTCCATTTGTTTGTCCGGACGATAAAGTGTAAGTATACATAAGTTGTAGCCCGTTTACAGTCTTTTGGTACACAGTTCAGGTTGTGCCCGCGAATGGTACGATCATTCATGCAGAGCGATTCGGGATAAACCTGTGTCACACATCCATTACTCCTGCATGTTCTTTCGCACTGGTCTTTCCCAGCTGTCCCTCCGTCTTTTCGAATTCCAGAGTGCCAAGTGGTCTTTCCCACATGTCAGTGTGGCCTTTCCCATGAATATCTCATTGTAAATAATTCTTGCTCCTGTCGAATAAATTGTTTAGTATAAAGCATCTTTTTGAGTCTGAGAATACAAAGGATTGGGAAATTTTAAAAATTAATATCTTCATAAGAAGAAATAACTCAAAAGGCGGATTTCATGTAACGAGATTTTTTGTGAATCTCGGCTTTTACTCGGTTACATCTAGGCAACTCGCAAGACTTCGCGTCCGAACCAAATTAGAAGTTTCAATTTTGAGTAATATTAACATTTTGCAAGTCCTTGCAAGATATTTATATGTTTAAAATGTTTTTCGAAATCATTAGTCTTGATCTTTTGAAATCTTGTACATTTATGTAGGATTACACGTTAAATAAAAGAAAAAACACCTGAAGGGTATTGTCGTTCTTATTTTAATAACTTGTTTTTTGGGTTAAAATGAAAAAACGCGTCAGCGAAAGATAAAGTGTCAAGTGTGTGGAATTGATAAATTTAATCTCCCACATTTTGTTTTTAAACACGATGGTATCATATATAATTGATATAGACCGCGTGTGTAGGAGAAACGATAAAGAAAGCTTTAAAAGACGTCAGCGGAAAATTAAAGGAGTAAAATCCAATATATCATACAACAACAATAACAATTCTCCCACGTTCAGTTAATGATATAAGTAATATTCTAGACAATATGATAAAAGTCACGGAATCACTAAGTTAAAACCGAACGAAGATTTCTTCACTGGGAGCGACAATAAACATTAAGTACTCGTATTAAGTATCCTTGACGTTGAGTGTATCTGATGTTAATTTCACTGCCATGCTGTTATTGGTAAATCAATAATATTATCATCCGCTAGAATGGAAATTCTAAGCAAAAATAATATTATTAATACAAACTGGACCAGCACGCGAAAACCAAACATTTTCTCAGATCAGAGATCAAGTTTTTTGGTCCCAAACAAACGAACCGAGTGTCAGTGAGAAGATTACAATTGTGATACCAGCGGCATCAATTGGGAATTTGACGTGTAAAGGGAGCGTGACCTGAAATGATTCATTTGCATAATCAACCGATCTGCTGAGCAGATCCAAGAGACGTAGAGTTATAAGTGTAATACACGTAGTTTACAATTTATATCTGCCTATATCTAATATACCTATGCATCTGATGCGTATCTATGATTATTAGACTGCCGGATGCGGAGTTGGGAGCTAAGTATACGTTACTGAGATATTTCTAGATACAGCATCTCTCAAAGCGAACAATATCGGAAGTCGAGAGCAACAGCAAGGAGACTGTTCTTGATCATTGGAATAATACAAATAACACCGATCTAAATGATTATAATTGGAAGAGCTCTCGTAAAACCAGACTGATCCATTGAACTCTATTAAGGATATTATAAAGAAGTAATGCCAGTAACAAGGTCTACAAGGACGTTATCAAAAATGCAATTACGAATATGAACTTAACATTGAGATAATCGAAAAGATTAACGATCAAGGGTAAGACAGGCTAACTTATTGAACAAACTAGAGGTTACTACAAATATAGACATCGAAGAGCTACAAGATGGGAAGCAAGTCCGATAACATGGATTACCGTGTCTATGACCCGCCACAACAATCCACACGACCACAACGAACAGATTTTACTCAAAGCAATACAAGGTGAGGCTACCCTTTGAAAGAGATTGCCTTTACATAACTCTTAAATGAGTGATGATTTTTATCTTGTCTTACGTTCTTTGAAAGAGGTTAACTAAATTGTCATATACTCTTAAATGAGAGATAAACTGATCTTGCCTTGCATCCTTTGCAAGAGGTTAAATTTACATACACTCCTAAATGAGAGATAAAACTGATCTTGCCTTGCATCCTTTGCAAGACGTTGGATTTACATATACTCTTAAATGAGAGATACATCAATCTGATCTTGCCTTGCATCCTTTGCAAGAGGTTAAATTTACACACACTCTTAAATGAGAGATAAAACGGACCTAGCCTTGCATCCTTTGCAAGAAAAAAAGCCTTATTTAACGGTACGTCTCTCAGAATATTCACATGTTGCAACATGCTCTTTGTCAAATTCAGATGATAAGAAGGGAATGTTTTTGACTTAATTTTTGTTACAACTTACCCTGATACTATTGACTAAGTATACCAGACTCCGACCAAAACCATATTGACTGGTAAGCTGAAGTAATTTAAAGAGTTTAAGTCAGTCGACCTAATAAATTAACTTGTACTGTGTACTGTAGCTATGGAAATGAGTATTAACTGAAAGCACGAAAAACAAATGAAAATGCACAACTACAAACGTATTAACCTATATAACTAAGTTAGCATTCGATTCGCGAATTCAACTGCCGGCTAACGGCTGGCGTTTAGTCTCTTTTTTATGGCCAACTCACTTTAATATGAATAGTATGTACCTGCCACTACTCCATTCATATTTAAAACGATTTTGCAATAAGATATTTAAAAGGTTGAACCGCCAGCCGTCAGTTGAATGTGAGACTGCTATCCAATTAAACATTTTCATACCAGAACTATGGTCTAGATTTAATATAAAATCAAAAAGTATATTCCTTAAATATCACAGGAGTACGAGTAATTCGTATAACGGTCCATTAGGATCAAGGCCAATTAGACAAAACAGCATGATTTCAAGGAAAAGCAATATAAAACAGTCTATCAACACGCTGTGCAAGGCGAAAAGTACAATCAGAAAATGTAAATTAGAATCCCACTGTGGATAATGGGATATAAGCCTACATAATGATGATTTGACTGCTTCATTTCATGGCATCAGCAAATACAGGGTGATTATGAAGAAGTACTGAGGAAAACATTTATCATTCCATTCACAAAAAACTGAGGATTTATATTTTATATATTCCTATGCTCACCCAACGGTTTTATTTCGTATTGTGAGTACCTCAGTTGAAATACCCAATTCTGATTGGTTAATTAAGTTGTAAACATTGAAAGTACTGTATACAATTTTGCCAGTCGACCCCAAGAAGGGTCTAAAATTTAGGTAATGCATACAAAAACACTAAAAGGTCTATAAGATATGTCGTATCGATGCTTTTGAAATATTTTTTTTTGTGTAAGAATAGCTCCTGGTATAACTCTTCAAGGCCGAATGTAAAGTTTGAAATATATGTTTACCATTCTTTTACTATTTTTTTTATCTCTTCAGAAATTTTTGAAAAAATTCGGAAAAACAACTTTTTGTTTCTCAAATATTCAATTATCTCACCATTTTCAAGGAAATTAAAGTTAAATTTTATTTTTAAGATCCATCACGTTCGTCATTTTTGTGTAAGTTATAATTTTTTGTGTGCCACCTATGTGTGCAAAAATATAAATGTATTATGCAAAAAGTATAAGGTGTGATCTCATGGAAATTTTCTAATGAATCGGAAAAATAAATAGTAAAATGAGTGCCCTTTGTCTCAAAATATATTGAACACCCTGTGCATGTAATTTACGTACTGACTTAACTAGCAAAACAAAACAGTCCACTCGATCACATGTATGTGACAGATGATCCTGATAGCTTCACGAGTATAGGGGATTACCGTAACGATAACTGTAGTTTCCGTAAGATTCACTACGTTTCCTGATATGGCGGAAAATAAGCTGAGCATTACAAAAGGAAAACATATAGGTTTTCTATCATGTTATTTTATGAAATGAAGTTTACAAATGGGAAATTAAGAAGGTGCATTATGAGGCAATAATTCATTCCTTTACATGCATTGATTTACATTAGAGAATGCGCTGGCTGGGAACATGTTTTGTCTTATGCTAAATAGAGGCTTTCACGATAGATAAAGAGAGACTGATAAATTAGAATCTGATTTCCGGCTTTTTAAAATACAATAACAGTTGCATAAATATTTATAAATATATTACCAGATGCAAATGTATAAATATCAAAGTAACCTTAGACTTTATGAAATCATTTCCTATCGCAGTGTTATATAATGTTACATTCTGTATATGTTGATTGTACCCATTGCATAAACACTCTCCATTATAAACACGATGGACTATTATCCCTCATACACTGGGTATGAACGAATAACCGAGGCACTGCGTTTGTGTAACAAGATGGCCTGTCTTCCTGTTGCAGATTTTCGTAAGATATTTTGTTTTCTCCATTTAAACCCGTTTTTCGGATGATTTGCTCCATGACAGTATGCCTTTAATTTGCGCATGGTCTCTTGTTTCCAATAATGTATGAAGTATTCACCCAGTATTATCACGAAGTGCCATTTGCGGTTTGAAATCCTTGCTTTTGTATCAGAGACACCACTCTGTGATTTATCAATGTAACAGATAATAATAATACATCTCCGATCCTCCCAATGATAGTAGCTTTTAAATCCGAATATCTTTTATTTATGGAGTTCTGATAGTCCACATGCGATTATATAGAAAACCGTCCAAGAATTTAATGGGTTTAAATGGAGAAAACAAAATTCCTTAAGCTAAGTTCACACCAACGGCGCTTTGATGGCGCTTTAAAGCAGCATGCAAAGCCGCTTTGCACGTCGCATTAAAGCGCAATCAAAGCGCCGTTGGTGTAAACTTAGCTTTACGAAAATATGCTACCGGAAAGCAGGCCATCTTGTTACAGAGACAAGGTGGCTTGGTAATACTTTAGACCCAGTGTCATAGTAACTTGCCTACGTATATCTAATGCAATTGACTTTTAACACAAGTGATATGTACATTAACGTTTCAGCGAAAGGTTAGCGTGTAAAATGACATAGATTTGATAAGTCTATTTGGGAAAGGTCAAGACATCCTCCATCGGCAAAATGATTATGAAATATTACGTAATTTATCATCAAATTACGCCATTCTATTGAATAGCTAACCGATTTAGTTTTGTTCCCCAAACCCAGACGTTCCTAAACATGATTATGTCAATATGTCTGTTGCCATGAATAAATGAGAAAAGATTATATCTGATCCAATATAGAAGAAATTCAAGATATAGACAATTCAGATTCGATCAGAATAAAAGAAGGTCCCTCCTCTTAGTATTATATCCTAATATTCTTAAAATCGATGAATTTTTAAGTCACAATTTTGCTTCTCGAAAGTAGGAATGGAAAGAAATGAACGGGATAGGGTCTCTCTCGTGTTTTTATGCGACAGGACATCTTTCACAAGAAACTATATTCTATGAATACCATTTTTAGCTTGTACTCTAAGAGCGAGGAGGGAAATTCTTAATAAATGGAGTATAGTTGGTTTGGCAGCATTTTCAGTTAGAAGGAAGTCTTGGATGAAAATTCTACCTAGGTGATAGCTTCACAGAGTGGTACATAATTCTTTTTTTTCAGGGTTTAGAACCCCACCCCCCAAAAAGACCCCACCCCGGGAAAATAATTTTTTCATTCTCGATAACTTTAGATATCTTGATGTTTGTAAGTTACATACATAGACATTATATATATGAATCATTTGCATAATAAATAATGCCAATCACTCCTACAGAATTTGAATAATAGTACAAAGTATGTACCCCAGGGGGCAAATTCGTGACCCATTTTCTTACTTTTTAGAGCCTCACTTTTGATTCAGACACTGGAAGACATTGGAAAAATTCACGTGAAGTGCTCAGTAGCAGGGCTATTAGCCCTGAAAGGTTCAAACTAATTGAATCAGTAGGAACTGAGAAAAAAATTGTTGATTTTTTGAAAATTTTGACATTTTTGAGAGGAGTGATTTTAGGTATGACTATAGCTGATGTCCATGGTTTCTATATCTATCCCTCTTTGATTATAAATATGGTTTTGAAGTATTGAACTAAGATGTAAAAGATAATTAAAATGGGTTTAAAGGAAGTTTAAAGTTTTAAACAAGTTCAAAATTCGAAGAATTGTACAATATCAGGTCTGAATTTACGAATTTTAGGTAAGACCTTGGTTGAGCCTTAGATTGTTTACATCTGTCCCACTTTGATGATATTTATAGTTTTGTAGTGTGGAACTTAGATGTACAAAATAATTAAAATGTTTTTAAGAAGGTTTAAGGGTTTTAATAAGTCCAAAATTTGAAAAATTGTACAATATCAGGTCTGAATTTGCGAATTTCAGGTAAGACCTTGGATTAGCCTTATATTTTTTACATCTGTCCCTCTTTGATGATATGTATAGTTTTGTAGTGTGAAACTAATATGTAAAAAATAACTTAGATGGATTTGAGGAAGGTTTAAGGATTTAAATGAGTTCAAAATTTGAAGAATCGTACAATATCAGGTCTGAATTTACGAATTTAAGGTATGACCTTGGATGACCCTTATGATTTTTATATCTGTCACTCTTTGAAGATATTTACGGTTTAATAGTAATGAACTAAGATGTAAAATATAATTTAGATGAATTTTAAGAAGGTTTAAGGATTTTAACAAGTTCAAAATTTGAAGAATTGTACAATATCAGGTCTGAATTTACGAATTTCAGGTAAGACCTTCGATGAGCCTTATATTTGTTACATCTGTCCCTCTTTCATGATATGTATTGTTTTTTAGTGTGAAACTTACATGTCAAAAATAATTAAGATGAATTTTAAGAAGGTTTTTAAGGATTTTCGCAAGTTCAAAATTTGAAGAATTGTACAATATTAGGTCTGCAATTAACACA